GATCACCTGAGCCCAGGAGGTCAAGGCTGCAGTGAGCTGTGATTGTGCCTCTGCACTACAGCCTGCGTGACAGACTGAGATGCTGTCTCATAAATAAATAAATAAATAAATAAATAAAAGAAGTAACATATACCAAATATTTTATAAGATGAGGGTTGACTGCATTGAAAGAAAAGATTCATAATATGAGAAATATCTTATTGAATATTGCACATCACCCACAATATCATGTAACTTTTTAATCTGCTGGTTTTATTTAGTGTAAGTTGAAGTGTCAATGATGCTGGAAAATATTAGTTATATTTAAAATAATGAGCATCACTAACCTGCACTGCTACAGCTGTTTGAAGGATGTTTCCTTCCCAGCTAAAAACATGTCTCAGGAAAAAGAACCCTTACGTTTTAGAAAATCATTCTGAAATATCTACAAATGAAATGATACAATGTCTGGGATTTGCTTCAAAATCATAAAGTAATGGTAAGAAGTGTACTTTACCTCTGCAATCGTCCTTCCCAAACCCATCATCACTGTCTAATCGTGAGAAAAACATTAGACAAATCCCAATTGAGAGACATTGGCATCAAAACTATGGCAAGTCCGAGACACTATTACAAACCAGAAGAGTCTAAGGAGACATGACCACTAAGTATAATGTAGCATCAGGATGAGATCTGGGAAGAGAAAAAGAACATTAGGGAAAAACTGGTGAAGTCTGAATAAAGTGTGCAATATTAGTTAATACTAACATACCAAAGTTGGTTCCTGAGTTGTAATAAATGTATTATAAGAGTGTAAGATATTAAACAGTAAGGGAAAATAGGCAAGGTGTATTTGAAAATTCTATACTAGCTTTTGCAACTTTTGGTAAATCTAAAGCTATTCTAAACTAATTTTTTTAGAAAGAATCATGGATGGCCGGGCACGGTGGCTCACACCTGTAATCCCAGTACTTTGGGAGGATTGCCCGAACCCAGGGGTTCAAGACTGACCTGGGTGACATGATGAAATCTTGTCTCTACAAAAAATATAAAAATTAGCCAGGCATGGGTGAGCACATCGTGGGAGGCTGAGGTGGGAGGATCACCTGAGCCCAGGAGGTCATGGCTGCAGTGAGCCATGATTGTGTCACTGCACTCCGGCCTGGGTGACACAGCAAGAACCTGTCTCAAAAAAAAAAAAAAAAAAGAAAAGACAAGAAAATCATGGAGGCCCCAGTGTGGCGCCTCACACCTGTGATCCCAGCACTTTGGGAGGCCAAGGCAAGAGGATCGCTGAGCCCAGGAGTTCAAGGCCAGCCTGGACAACACGGCAAAACCCTATCTCTACAAAAAACACAAAAATTAGCCAGGCGTGGTGGCATGCACCTGTAGTCCCAGCTACTCGGAAGGCTGAGGTGGGAGGATCACTTGATCCCAGGAAGTCGAGGTTGCAATGAGCCATGATTGTGTCACTGCACTCCCACCTGGGTGATACAGCAAGACCTTGTCTTTAAAAAAAAAAAATTTAGTCTCCCAGGTATCCAGTATCAATCACATTGTACAGTTTAGATACAATGAACCATCCTTATCAAGGGACAGTGTTATATCGGTGTAGAGAATTATTTACCAGTCAAGTTCCCAATGCCAGCCAAAGGCCAATCTTGTGAACAGGCCTTTCTAAGGATAGCAGTCAGGCCTGGGCACCAGCACACACACAACATACAGCTTTCTGGGGTGTGACAGAGATATTTCATAACTCATACCCTCCTCCTGTTGTGGAAGGTATCCCCACAAACCTCACTTACAGACCTCATCTACTATTCTGGTTCAGAGATACGTGTCTGAAGGAGGAAGGGAACACCTGTGAGATATGGAGAGCTGAGAAGAGAAAGCCTTGAGTTTCTCAATGAGCATAGCTGAAAATCAGCCCAGAGCTCTGCACTGTCATTTTTCTTTTTTTCCTTCTGTACACGGGACTTTAGTTCTGAGAAATCTATCCTGAGGATCAAAGAGGAAGAGAAGAGAGAAGAAGAAAAATGAGAAAGAAAAGAGTGAGGCCTTTTGAGAAGATGGAGCAGAATCGGATTAGCTCAAGTGCACTAGGGTTGTGAATATCCAGGAAGCACTGTTGAGTTCAAGGTTCCTAAAATATGTGCAAGTGGTGATGTCCAGTAGGCAGGCAGACTCTGGAGCTTGTAAAGGGCTGTAGGACACAGGGCCTCAAGTGTTCGGTTTCTTTTCTTTTCTTTTTTTTTTTTTTTTTTTTTTGAGACGGAGTCTCTCTGTCACCAAGGTTGGAGTGCAGTGGCGCGATCTCGGCTCACTGCAACCTCTGCCTCCTGGGTTCAAGCAGTTCTCTGCCTCAGCCTCCCGAGTAGCTGGGACTACAGGCGCCCGCCGCCACGCCCGGCTAATTTCTGTATTTTTAGTAGAGATGGGGTTTCACCATATTGGCCAGGCTGGTCTGGAACTCCTGACCTCAAGTGATCCACCCACTTTGGCCTCCCAAAGTGCTGGGATTACAGGCATGAGCCACCATGCTTGGCTGAGTGTTCATTTTCTTTTTTTTGAAACAGAGTCTCGCTCTGTCGCCCAGGCTGGAGTGCAGTGGCGTGATCTCGGCTCACTACAAGCTCCGCCTCCCGGGTTCACGCCATTCTCCTGCCTCAGTCTCCCAAGTAGCTGGGACTACAGGCGCCCGCCACCACGCCCGGCTGTTTTTTTTTTTTTTTTTTTTTTTTTTTTTGTATTTTTAATACAGGCGGGGTTTCACTGTGTTAGCCAGGATAGTCTTGATCTCCTGACCTTGTGGTCCGCCCACCTTGGCCTCTCAAAGTGCTGGGATTACAGGCGTGAGTCACCGCGCCCAGCTGAGTGTTCATTTTCAAATGAGGTAATACATACGATTACAGATACACTGCAACACACCAACATTGAGCATTTTTGTTAAACTTGTAAATATCTTGTGAATAGTGTATTTGTACGTATGTTAAAATAATTACTTGAGTTTCTGTCCACTCTGTTTGGCATTTTTAAATCTTTTCAGGCCGGGCGCGGTGGCTCATGCCTGTAATCCTAGCACTTTGGGAGGTCGAGGTGGGCGAATTACCTGAGCTCAGGAGTTTGAGACCAGCCTGGGCAACATGGTGAAACCCCATCTCTACTAAAATACAAAAACAAAAATAAAAAAAATTAGCTGGGCGTGGCGGTGTGCGCCTGTAGTCCCAGCTACTCAGGAGGCTGAGGCAGGAGAATTGCTTGAACCCGGGAAGCAGAGGTTGCAGTGATCCAAGATGTGTCACTGCACTCCCGCCTAATGACAGAGAGAGACTCCGTTCGTCTCCAAAAAAAAAAAAAAAAAGAAAAGAAAAGAAAAAAGAAAGAAAAAAAGAAAGAAAAAGAAAAATTTTTTCAATAAGTTGGTGGCAGGAAATCCCAGCTACTTGGGAGGCGAATGCAGGCCGATTGCTGGAGACCAGGTGTTCAAGGTCAGCCTGCACAACATAGCAAGACCTCGTCTCAAAAAAAGAAAAGGAAGAAAAAATATTTTTAATATGCAAGAAGTCTCGAAAAAGGGAAGTGGTCCCCGTTTCTCTTAATGTCTTGGAGGCCAAAAAAAGTACAGTACAGTGTGTTGGTGAAACACACATATAGATATCATCAGTACCCAGACGTTAATTAACGCCAAGGGAGTGTAAAGGGTCGCCCAAGAGAGCGACTTTATGGGAAATGAAAGCTCCGGAACCAGAACATCTAAAAGGCTCACTGAAGAAGAGGCGCCTACAAAGGATGGTAACCAGGAATGGCCAAAGAGACGGCGGAAAAACCAAGTGAAACGGTCAGGGAAAGATGGGGGAAAGAACATAAGGAGAACTCAAGCCAATAGTGCATTTTAAGAAGGGTATTAAGGCCGGGCTCTGTGGCTCACGGCCGTAATCCCAGCGCTTTGGGAGGTCGAGGCAGGCGGATCACCTGGGGTCAGGAGTTCGAGAGCAGCGGGTCAACATGGCGAAAACCCTGTCTCTACTAAAAACACAAAAATTAGCTGGGCACGGTAGCGGGCGCCTGTAATCCCAGCTATTCGGGAGGCCGAGGCAGGAGAATCCCTTGAACCCGGGCGGGGGAAGTTTCAGTGACCAGAGATCGCGCCACTGCTCTTGAACCTGAGCCACTGGGTGAGGCTTCATCGGAAAAAAAGGAAAAAAAAAAAAAAAAAAAAAACAAAAGGTAAAATATTTCTTTCTCTTTTTCCTTTTTTTTTTTTTTTGAGACGGAGTCACACTCTGTTGCCCAGGCTGGAGTGCAGTGGCATGATCTCGGCTCACTGCAACCTCCTCCTCCCGGGTTCAAGCGATTCTCCTGAGTCGGCCACCGGAGTAGCTGGGATTACAGGCGTGCACCACTACGCCCGGCTACTTTTTGTATTTTCAGGAGAGACGGGGTTTCTCCAAGTTGGCCAGGCTGGTCTCGAACTCCTGACCTCAGGTGATCCACCCGCGTCGGCCTCCCAAAGTGCTGGGATTACAGGCGTGAGCCACCGCGCCCGGCCACTGTCAAATATTTCGCTGATTTTCCTCGGTCAGCACCACCACAATAATTGTGCCACCTTACCCAGGCAAGGTTTGGACATCTCTTTGACTCTTTTACAGGGTTTTATACTGTGGTTTCCATTATTTCCTCCAACTAGACAGTAGAAGCGGGAGATGTGAATCTTCCCCTTTTTCCTCTTCCATAGAGTCTTACTCCGATCGTTCAATTAGTATCAGTGGAATGATTTAAAGAACATTTGAAAAACCACTCGGACAAAACCCTCAGATTCGAACTTGTTCCAGTAGCCAAAAATACCCGCGGCCACGGCTACACTGCGCAGGCGCAAAGGCAGACGGGCTTTCTCCAGAGGGGCTTTGCATTTGGCGCGAAATCCCTTTCCGTGGGCGGGGGCTCTTGGAGAAGCGCCGTTCATTGGTCAGGTTTGGCGCGAAATCTCCAGCTCCTGTGTCACGATTGGTTCCGGCCGTGCCGGTCGGAAGAGGGGGCGGGGCGGAAGCGGCGGCGGCGCGCGCAAAGCTGCAGCGTCTGGAAAGAAGCGACTTGTGGCAGTCGAGCGTGGCGTAGGCAAATCGTCGGCGCTGGGCAAATATGGACCTCGCGGCGGCAGCGGAGCCGGGCGCCGGCAGCCAGCACCTGGAGGTCCGCGATGAGGTGGCCGAGAAGTGCCAGAAACTGTTCCTGGACTTCTTGGAGGAGTAAGTCGATGAGCGCCCGGGGCCTCGCCCGCCTCCGGAGCCCGCGGTGTCTGGGCCAGGAGGTGCCGTGTGGCCGGCGGGTGTTCCGGAACCTGGGGGTCGCGCGTCCGGGAAGTGTTGCCCCGCCCGCCCCGCAACTTTAGGCTGCGAGCCCAGCGGCCGCGAGGAGCCTAGAACAGGCTGGGTTTTTCTGGACTAAAACCCATATCGAGCCCTAAGACGCTCGTGCCCAGTGCTTTGCTTCTGTCACTTGATGCTCACCACCCCGCGAGCCTGGTATTTGCACAGTCCCCGGTGACCGGCGCGGAAACCTGGGCTCGCTGAGTATAGTAACTGGGCCTCTGGGTGCGGCCGGGTCGAGGGGGAGGCCGAAGTGCTATTGAATCCCGGCGGAGCCCTGCTGGGCCACACAGCCGGTAGCCTGGTGCTGGGGGTGGGCAGGGCCCGGGCCACCCTCGCCTCCTGTGCTGATGAAAGTTTCTGCGTGAACTGTGGTTTGAAAGCTGCTGGGGTGCGGAGCCGTGCCCTGTAGAGTAACTACCATTTCCCTTCTTCTGGGTCCCTTGCTCCCCTTTCCCTCTGGCCTTCCTTTCCTTTCTCTACTACCCCTCTTTTTTTCTGTGCCTCTGGGCTCCTGGCCTCATAACCCCGCCTCCTCCCTGGCTTGCCTTACCTACCCACCGGTTATTTTTCCTAGAGTAGATACACCACGGTCTCCAGGATGAAGGGTCGACAGTTTGGAATGGCTTGTGAAAAAAGCTTATGAAGTTCTTTTTATTGTCGTAAAATATACATCACAAAGTTGACCATTTGAGGCATTTTAAGTGTACAGTCCAGTGACATTAAGTTCGTTCACCTCGTTATGCAGCCGTCACCACCCTCCATCTCCAAACTTTTTTTTTTTTTTTTTTTGAGACGGAATTATTAGCCCTTGTTGCCCAGGCTGGAGTGCAGTGTCTCCATCTCAGCTCACCGCAACCCCCGCCTCCCGGATTCAAGCGATTCTCCTGCCTCAGCCTCCAGAGTAGCTGGGATTACAGGCATGCGCCACCACGCCCTGCTCCTTTTGTATTTTAGTAGAGATGGGGTTTCTCCATGTTGATCAGGCTGCTCTTGAACTCCCGACCCCAGGTGATCCGCCCGATTGGGCCTCCCAAAGTGCTGGGATTACAGGCGTGAGCCACCGCACCCGGCTCCAAACTTCTTTCATCTTCCAAACTGACACTCTGTGCCCATTAAATACGAACTCTCTTCCTTTACCCTCTCCCTCAACCACCGTCACCCACCACTCTGCTTCCTTTCGTTATGAGTTTGACCACTATAGGTACCTCATATAAGTGGAATCATAATAGTATTTGTTGTTTTGTGTTTGGTTTGTGTAGCATAATGTCTACAAGGTTCCTCTGCAAGGTACCATGTGTCAGAATTTCCTTACTTTTTAAGGCTAAATAACATTGTCTCTACAGATTGAGTATCCCTTTTCTGAAATGCTTGGGACCAGAAGAGTTTGGGATCTTGGATTTTTTTTTTCAGATTTGGAGTATTTACATTATACTTAACCAGTTGCATCCCTAATTTGAAATGCTCCAGTGAAAATCATGTCAGCACTCAAAAAGTTTCAGATTTTGGACCATTTCATGTTTTACATTTTCAGATGAGGCTGCTCAACCTATATATGTACTGCATTTTGCTTGTCCATTCAGTGGACGCAGGTTCATTCCACCTTTTGGCTATTGTGAATAATGTTTCCATCTTATGAAATTTTGGTATACTTAAAACCATAATTTAATTTCCATTTTGCTACCTATGGCAGTGTTATTGTCTGCCTGATAGTTCCTTCTTCAAAGCCCAGCTAAAAACTCACATCTTTGTGATACCTTGTACACCTTTTTGAGAGGCACTAATCCTTTCTTCCTTAGGCTCCCAGGGTGCCGTTTGTTTTTCATTGTCTCCAGCAGTGTAACACTTTACCTCTCAGCCACTTAGTGTGGAATTCAGATTCCATCCTCAACCCTACCTACCCACCATATCACATTACAAAGGTTCTTCAATAAATGTTTCATTTCAACAAATAATCCAAGTGCCTTGACTTTGCAGCTAGATGATAATGATGAGACAAATAATCTCTATACTTTGTTTAAAGAAGTGCCAACTCCCTGTCACAAAATAAACTTGAATTCACCATTGCTTGTGGAATAAAGTTCAAATTCTTCACCACTCCTCTTTCCTGTTTGTCTTCCAAAACCACCCCAGTCATCATCCACACTTCTCCCCTACCTTCTCTGACTTAATCATATACTTGGAAACATCTGTAGTCAGTCACTCCACCACCTGTTTTTATTCGAAATTTTTAACTCTTTCAGAAGCTGAATTCCAGTACCACCTTTTATATGTATGACTCTTGTAGATGTTCTGTTAGGCAGATTTAGTTTCTATTATCCTAGCACATTTCTTGTTCTCATTAACAGGAACATATTTCGTGTCTGTCTTCGTTGTTTACATATCTAACTCCCTAGACACAAAGTGTTAGTTAACCCTAGGGCAGGAACAACACTGCCATTTTCAGCCTCAGATGCCTCTGTCATAGGGCTTTGCACGTAGTTGTTTAACAAATATTTTAAGTCAGAACATGCTGTATTTGAGTAGTCAGAACATGCTGTATTTGGAGGATAAATTGATTTTTTCTTAAAGCAAATCTGCATATTATGTTTAAAAGAACAGAAAATAAATTTGTATGATATCCTGCTTGGGTTTTAGAAGCAAAAATACCAACAGCTTTATTTAGTGTGCATGTTTCAATTTTCCTGAAGTCTTGGACAGTGAAACACCTCATTTCCGTGTATTCTTATTTCTATTCTGCTTCTTAAGTCCCTGACTAATCTGTCAGCTTGCAAATTACCTACAGAAATGGAATCATTGGGTTCTCGACTGAATTTCTTGATTTAACATTTTCCAGTCTTAATTATACATGACAATAATAAGAGTTAGTAGTTGTTTTGTTGTTTTTTTGTTGCTGTTGTTAGCAGTTAAGCCTCACAGTCATGGTGGAAGGCAAGGAGGAGCATAGTCACTGATGTCTTAAGTGGATGGCATCAGGCAAAGAGAGCTTGTGCAGAGGAACTCCTCTTTTTAAAACCATGAGATCTCGTGATACTTACTATCAGAGAACAGCAGGGAAAAGACTTGTCCCCATGATTCAGTTACCTCCCACCAGGTCCCTCCCACAACATGTGGAAATTCAAGATGAGATTTGGGTGGGGACACAGCCAAACCATATCAGAAGGGACAAGTAACTTGCCCCAAGTTACAGAACTGCCAAACATGGGCCCATCTGAGCCTAGTTGTTGGACTTTAACCAGTATTCTGAATTATCAATCATTCAGGTTCTTTGTACTGCCTGTGTCCTTAATCTAGTTGACTCGCATGTACCTGCAGGTTTCAGAGCAGCGATGGAGAAGTTAAATACTTGCAATTAGCAGAGGAACTGATTCGTCCTGAGAGAAACACATTGGTTGTGAGTTTTGTGGACCTGGAACAATTTAACCAGCAACTTTCTACCACCATTCAAGAGGAATTCTATAGGTATGGACATATTAATTTTCTTTACTTTGAATAGGGGTTGAAATCTGGGAAGCCAGCTCTTCCTGGACTGTAAGTGTTCACTTGTGTAGCAGAAGGGCAGCTTTCACAGTTATTTCCCTCTGAGAAGAGGCGCTTTGATACTGCCAGTGGTCATTTTAGTACTGCTCTGAACTTCATGTAGGCCTTTGTAGAGCTGACCTTTTTTTTTTTTTTTTGAAACGGAGTCTTGTTCTCTCACGCCCAGGCTGGAGTGCAGTGGCGCGATCTTGCTCACCGTAACCTCTGCCTCCCTGGTTCTAGCAATTCTTCTGCCTCAGCCTCCCTAGTGGCTGGGATTATAGGCGCCCACCATCACGCCCGGCTAATTTTTTACATTTTTTAGTAGAGATGGGGTGTCACCATGTTGGTCAGGCTGGTCTCGAACTCCTGACCTCAGGTGATCCACCCGCCTCGGCCTCCCAAAGTGCTAGGATTACAGGCGTGAGCCACCGCGCCCAGCCAGAGCTGAACTTTTTTTTCAAATACAAATGTTGAAAATCTTTGCTTTCTGTGTAGTTTTCCCAAGAGGAAAACTGTACTTACTTACTTTTGTGTCATTCCACTGATCCTTTTTCCCCACAGGAATAGGTGTTTGTGTGGGTCCTGTTCTTGTACTGGGGATATCTTTACAGCATTGATGTTGTTGTACTTCTTGTTCCCTTAAAGTTTAATTTTGTTTCTGCTTATAAAAGTAGTAGGTATATATTGTAGAAAATAGAGAAAAGTAAGGATAATTAAATTGCTTATACACTTGTAATCTACCACTGTCATTAGCAGGTCTGCTACAAGAGTTCCAGGAGCCTTCTAAGTCTACAAGTACAGAGTTTTGTAAGGATCTTCTGTCACATTTTGATGTCTTTCTGTGTGTACTGTGTATGAAACTACTCAAATTCACATAAAATTTCTTAAAATACTAATAGCTCCAATTGTGGTTTTTTGGTAGAAATACTATGGTTAGACATTATATTTAATGTAAGGCTTTTATTGTATTTTGAATTGTTATACACAGCAAGAAACATCTTTGCACACAAGACTTTGTATTAGGATTAAATGAATGTGACAATCAGAAATAGAATCAAGTTAAAATAAATTGTGGACAGTTGTGAAAGATAAATGAAAACTCAGGGATAAGGAGGTACAATCTTGTTCATTTCTTGGTAGATTGGGAGATGGAGGATTTGTCTGTGTTTCTAGTCATAGCTGATGATCAAGATAAATTGGAGGGGTAAGTAAGCAACAGGGTTTATTGTGAAAGCATGCAGCAGAAGTTATTGCACTGACAAATGAGGGAGAGGTAGAAAATCAAGCCTGGTGGTAGAAGCAGCTGTGCCATGCCTCATGCACAAACCAGGCAGCAGTTCTCTTTCCCGAGAGTAGCACCTTTTTTAGAGGACTTTCAGACCCCACTTTTTAAACAAAGTAAGCTGTAGTAGCTATTAGAAACTTATATAAAAAGGACGTGCATACTTCACTCTCACCAGTCAAATGGAGCATTTTTGCCAATTTGTTCTCACATTAGTACACAAATACTTCTCCTGTCCTCATCCATTTCTTATCAAACCAGCCAGATATGGTGGCTCACACCTGTAATCCCAACACTTTGGGAGGCTGAGGTGGACAGATCACTTGAGCCCAGGAGTTTTAGACCAGCCTGGACAACATGGTGAAATCCCATTTCTACAGAAAAAAACCCACAAAAATTAGCTGGGCATGGTGGTGCATGCCTGTAGTGCCAGCTACTCAGCAGGCTGAGATGAGAGGATCACCTGAGCCTAGGGAGACTGAGGCTGCAGTGAGCTGTGATCGTGCCACTGCACTTCAGTCTGGGTGACAGAGTGAGACCCTGTCTCAGAATGAAACCAAATAAATAGACTGACTTGACACCTGGTTTACTAAGTCATAAACAGCCCACAGAAAATTCACAGTTTTGAGCATATTGACAAGATGATTGTTCAGCTAGTCATGTTGGACAGAGGAATGGCTAACAGTGTGGGTGCTATATGATTATTTAAAGATAATCAGATATGGTGTGACATTTTGTATTTAGTGTTTTGATGGGATAGGAGAGAATTGAAAGAGGGTCCTAAACCCAGACTAGATAAAGAAGTGTCATGCACAGTTAAGTTCTAAGGCTTAGTTGTAACCGATGAAATTCCTTAATCTCGACTGTTAGTAGATATGTAAAGGGAAGGAGGACTTGGTAAACCTCTAAGGTATCAGTTGACTTTTTTGTTTTTCAGAGTTTACCCTTACCTGTGTCGGGCCTTGAAAACATTCGTCAAAGACCGTAAAGAGATCCCTCTTGCCAAGGATTTTTATGTTGCATTCCAAGACCTGCCTACCAGACACAAGTAAGAAACCCTTCTCTGGAAAAAAATGAATTCACCAAATGGTATAGGTACCACTTAGCTGACAGTCAGAAAACTTGAGAGGTTGCCTTAATCTGTTATTAGCTCGCTATTTAACATTATACAAATCACTTTTACCTCCCCGAGCCTCAGTTTCCTTATCTGTGAAGTCTTTTGGCTTAGGTTTTCTACCTAAATCATGCAAAAAGTAGGTTTGTTGCTGTAAAAATTACTTTTTCATAATTGGTAATCACAATAATTATAAAATGAGTACTTATAACATTGATGCTGTTATACCAGGAGGAAAAAATAGTGGTTTGCATTCAGATTTTGTAGAAGGTTGACTTTTGTAGGAGTTATACCCAGTTATCCAGAAAGTTTAGTTTTGGAGTGATGTATTTTTTCCTATGGAAATGGGATTAGATGTAAATGAAGTGAAGCAAAGTCTTAGGATTACCACATTTTAGGGTGCCTTTTAGGGAAATTTGGGAGAAAATTGATCGAGGGAGAAAATATGAAATTCTAGAAATTCCTGAATCTCTGGAAATTTTTGTCAGTTTAAATACATAATTTTCAAACACCCCTTTGGCAGTTATTTTAAGAATAAATTTACTGGATAAAATTGAAGTGATATTTTGGACAGTTAAACTACTGAAATTACTTTATAAAATTACCCTTATTTCACATAAAATGGGTTTGTAAAGGAAGTGTTTCTGAACTTTCAGTACAAAATTTTTTCTCATGATAGGATTATTGTGTAACATCCTTTTTTTAAGAAATTGCAGGTAAGCAAAAACGTATTTGCATATAAAACAAAAACAGGATCATTCTGGGTTTTTTTGTTTTTTTTTTTCTTTTTCTCCCCTGAGACAGAGTCTTGCTCTATCACCAGGGCCAGAGTGCAGTGGCGCAATCTTGGCTCACTACAACTTCCACCTCCCGGGTTCAAGCAGTTCTCCTGCCTCAGCGCCTCCAAGTAGCTGGGATTACAGGTGCTCACCACCGTGCCCAGCTAGTTTTTGTATTTTTAGTAGAGATAGGGTTTCACCATATTGGCCAGGATGGTCTTGATCTCTTGACCTCATGATCGGCCCACCTCAATCTACCAAAGTGCAGGGATTACAGGTGTGAGCCACCGCGCCCGGCCCGTTCTGTTTTGTAATTTTAATTTTCATTTTTTGGGCGTCCTTTAATTTATATTTATTCATTTATATATATTGTTCTGGATGCATATACATCATATAATTTAGGAATGGGCACATTGACTAAATTATTCTTATAGGAGAGTCCAAAGAATACCTTGTCTCTTAAATTTTTTTTTTAAACATAAATTATCTTTGAATGCCCTCTCACTAAAATGGAAAGATTCTTAGTTAGGAGATGAATGTTTACTAATGGGACATTTGTCTTTAAACAGGATTCGAGAGCTCACCTCATCCAGAATTGGTTTGCTCACTCGCATCAGTGGGCAGGTGGTGCGGACTCACCCAGTTCACCCAGAGCTTGTAAGCGGAACTTTTCTGTGCTTGGACTGTCAGACAGTGATCAGGGATGTAGAACAGCAGTTCAAATACACACAGCCAAACATCTGCCGAAATCCAGTTTGTGCCAACAGGAGGAGATTCTTGCTGGATACAAATAAATCAAGATTTGTTGATTTTCAAAAGGTATTAAACATCTGTGTCGATCAGAGTCCGTCAATGATAATAATTCACTTCTAGACCCTTGCAATAACTTCTATTTAGATCATGTTCAATTCAGTTTTTATATAAGCTAAGCATCATCAAAATGACTACAAATTTAAGCCCAAAACTCTTCATGTAAATTGTAATTGTTAGTATATACATCTGTTTTAACTTTTAATAACTTGGAAGTTCCTTAAGACTGACAAGATGTATTTGTCAAAGAATAAATGGTAACTAGGTGGTGGTGGTGATTATAAACTGGAGTTAAGAAAACTTTGAAGAAATAGCAACTTATTAGTGTAAGATTTCCATTTGGTGCATAGAAAGGAAAGCATGAATAAGACAGGCTAGCTTGGAAGCAGTGAGGATTATCATGATTGAAGTAAAGGAGCCAAGTTGGAGATCATCTGAGAGATGATGTGATGTGAGACCTGGAGGTACTTGGATCCCTAAATCTTAGGCTGAGAAGTTTGAGTCTATCTTAATAAGCAGTGGGAATATACTGGGAAGGCAGTTTATGTGTGTGTGTGTTTTTGTTTGTTTGTTTTGTTTTGTTTTGTTTTGAGACAAAGTTGCACTCTGTCACCCAGGCTGGAGTGCAGTGGCGTGATCTCCACTCACTGCAAGCTCTGCCTCCCAGGTTCAGGCCATTCTCCTGCGTCAGCCTCCCGAGTAGTTGGGACTACAGACGCCCGCCACCACACCCGGCTGATTTTTTTATATTTTTAGTAGAGACGGGATTTCACCATGTTAACCCAGCATGGTCTCGATCTCCTGACTTCGTGATCTGCCCGCCTCGGCCTCCCAAAGTGCTGGGATTACAGGCGTGAGCCACCGTGCCCGTGTGTGTGTGTGTGTTTTTTTGTGTTTTTTTTTTGTTTTTTAAGGAAACTGAGTAAGTCCGTGATGGGTTTAACAGAGGGTAATAACGCAATTTCAGTTACCTGGGCAAGAGGTGATGGATGGCAGTAGTAAGAATGAAGGGGACTCTCAAATTTCAGCAGGTCTTAATTTTTTGGGACATACAAAAAGGAAAGAAAAGTTGAAACAGCTTAAGTATGGAATAATTATCAGATGAATTTAATATTGTTTATATTGCTCTGATAATCATTCTCCTTATTTAGCTTTCTTACATTAACCTGGTAGCTTATAAGATGCACATATTCTGCCAACAGCTTTGGGTAGGAGATACCTTATCTTATAAAGTATGAGTCAGATTGGGTCTTAGTTTCGGGGAAGAAAACAATTGTATAAAGGACACTTGACAAGACATTTGAAGACGGACTAGATAATAGAAGATGTGTAATTTTATGAAATTAAATATTGTCTAATTATCTTGGTTGTGTTAATGGTATTGTAATAGAGGATTGTCTTTATTCTTAGAGATGAATGCTAAAATATTTAGGTGTGAAGTTTCTTGATGTTTACAACTTTGTTCAAATATATAGTAAAAAAGAAAAAACATGTATCTGTAAATAATGTTAGCAGTTGTGTTGAAGTGGAGGGTATTAAAAGGTATGTTTGAAATTTTCCATAAAATTTTCTTAAAGCTTAGGAGAAGATGGAACATATAACATATTTAGAGTCATTTTGAACAAAGAGAAAAAAAAACTTTTTAAATGAGAGTAAAAGAAGTTTTTTTTTCCTCTGCTGCTTGAATCAGCATGAAGTTTTTAAATAGATGTAATCTTTTGCCAAATTGAACTATTTGACTAAAAGGAGTTTTAGAGTAGATAATTTTTAGGATGAATGTTGATAACATGTGAAAAGTCTGCTAATGGGTCAGATAGTTTAGAATATGTCAGTATTTGTGGTATTTAATTTAGATTGTATGGCATCTGAAAGGGATCGCTTCTCATTCTTGGCTGTTTGTCTTTATTACAGGTTCGTATTCAAGAGACCCAAGCTGAGCTTCCTCGAGGGAGTATCCCCCGCAGTTTAGAAGTTATTTTGAGGGCTGAAGCTGTGGAATCAGCTCAAGCTGGTGACAAGTGTGACTTTACAGGGACACTGATTGTTGTGCCTGACGTCTCCAAGCTTAGCACACCAGGTCAGTAATCTGTGGCTCAAATTTAACAAATTCTCAGTTACCTAAACTGCAGAGTATCTAACTTCCCACATCTTCATTGTCGTCTTTTTGGCTGCCAATCAGAAGCTGAGCAAGGAACTGTGATGAGAATAAAAAGAAACTGGTTTTGCCACAAATGGTGCTATTCTGAAAGTATTCAAGGCTTAAGTGAAGTCTTTGGATTTATAACTTTCGTTTATTTGAGCAATTTTAAAGCTATTCAGCACCTTTAATATTTAAGTTGTGAAACAGCCTATCATTCTGTTTCAGGAGCACGTGCAGAAACTAATTCCCGTGTCAGTGGTGTCGATGGATATGAGACAGAAGGCATTCGAGGACTCCGGGCCCTTGGTGTTAGGGACCTTTCTTACAGGCTGGTCTTTCTTGCCTGCTGTGTTGCGCCAACCAACCCAAGGGTGAGTCATTTTGGGGTTTTTGTTTGTTTTTGAAACAGTCTTTCTGTCACCCAGGCTAGAGTGCAGTGGCAAAGTCATGGCTCACAGTAGCCTCCACTTCCTGGGCTCAAGTGATCCTACCATCTCAACCCCCTGAGTAGCTGGGATTATAGGTATGAATCACCACACCCAGCTAATTAAAAAATTTTTTTTAGAGATGAGGTCTTGCTCTGTTGGCCAGGCAGGCCAACAGTGAGTCTTAGTAGAGTGACAGCTTAAGAAACACCTACCCTGAGGCTGCCACAAAGTGATAGGATTCTGAAACATCTGGGTTATCTCATCAATGTTAAGAGCAGGGGATGGGGTTAAGATTTGATGAGTTTTAAAACCAAATCTTTTGACATATGTCTTTCTGATCTTGGAGAAAAACAGGCTTATTTGATGTCTTACGGGGTAAGAGCTCAATGCTTTTAAGAACAGTGGTACAAATTATCCATGCTGTTTTTTGTTTTAAGTTTCACACCTCTGTTAAGCTTTTGGAGGAAATATAAATAAAAAGATTTAGTAATCTGGGAAGTAAATTTCTGAGAATGATGAACCCCTGGCAGTATTGTTCAGTTAACTCATAAATGGGAGTTTGGAAAATAGTTCAGTATTGGAAAAAGGGAGTGAACATAATCTCTTATTTTATTTGCATCTTTATGTCAGTGATTAACATTCTGCTATGGCTTATCTCTTGAGCGTTCAGGTAGCTTTTTTTCTATTTAATTCACTGGACAAATGACACACCCTTAAGTGTCTTTGTTAACTGAGGGCTTACTAGTCTGGGGAGTTGTTTTTGGTTTTTTTGTTGTTGTTAAACCTTTACAGTCAATAAATTGTGAGGTTGACTTCCCATGCAATGAAGTTTCTTCTCCTTTATGCTCTTTTGACTGCTTCTATACTAATAATTCTTCCTTTGTTCTCTACCCTTAGTTTGGGGGGAAAGAGCTCAGAGATGAGGAACAGACAGCCGAGAGCATTAAGAACCAAATGACTGTGAAAGAATGGGAGAAAGTGTTTGAGATGAGTCAAGATAAAAATCTATACCACAATCTTTGTACCAGCCTGTTCCCTACTATACATGGTAAGAATTCCATCCATTTATACCATAAACTTGAAATCAAAATAATGATTATAAACAGCCACAAGTGATTTCTTAAAGCACATAAATCAGACCATGAAAGCTTTTAGTGGGTCTAAAAGAGGTCATTTACAAAAGGACAGGTACATGATTTCACTTATATAAGGTACCTGTAATGTGCAAATTCATAGAGATAAGGTAGGATAGAGATTATCAGTGACTTGGAGAATGGGAGAAATTAGTTATTTAATGGATAAAGTTGCTATTTGGGATGATGACAAAGTTCTGGAAAGGGATAGTGGTGACAGTTATACAACATAATGTACTTAGTGCCACTGAACTATAGATTGAAAAATGGTTAAAATGGTAGGTTTTATTATGTATTTTTATCTTTTTTTTTTTTTTTTAATGAAAAAAAGTTATTTCGCCATCTTATTTCCTGGCCTTATGACGAAATGCACTTAAAGTTTCAATATGCTAGACTAGTCTCCTGGCCTTTTTGTGGTTGTAGTCTCCTGGCCTTGTTATTGTTGTGTGTATGTGCACACGCGTGTGTATGTGTGTGTGTGTTAGAGTTTTGCTATGTTGTCTAGGCTGAAGCACTCCCTCCTGGGCTAAAGCAATCTTCCTACCTCCAGCCTCCCTGGTAGCTGGGATTACAGGTGTAGGTCACCACACTTGGCTCTTGTTTGTCTTTTTATTTACCAAGATGGAATGTTTATGATTGGTTACTTGTTCTGTCTATACCTTTGGCAGTTTCACATTTTCCTGACTCTTGGTTGCTAGCTGTGTTTTGAAGGCTATAACTAACATTTTGTGCCTGATGCTTTATCTTTGAACTCTTCCATCCTTGTCTTCTATACTCAATTGGGATTGTGCTAGGAACTCATTGACTTTTTTTTAATCTTTTTAAAATTTTATTTGTTTTTTTTTTGGTTTTTTTTGAGACAGAGTCTCGCTCTGTCGCCCAGGCTGGAGTGTAGTGGCGTGATCTCGGCTCACTGCAACCTCTGCCTCCCAGGTTCAAACGATTCTCCTGCCTCAGCCTCACGAGTAGCTGGGATTGCAGGCATGCCCCACAATGCCCGGCTAATTTTTGTATTTTTAGTAGAGGTGGGGTTTCGCCACGTTGGCCAGGCTGGTCTCGAACTCCCTCCTGACCTCAAGTGATCATCCACCTTGGCCTCCCAAAGTGCTGGGATTATAGGCATGAGCCAGTGCATCTGGCCCTTTTTTTCTATCTAAATATAAGTCAAAGAAGTTTTGTTTGTGGAATGGGTTTTTTGTTTTCTACCTCTTTTGTTTTCTTTTGTTTTGTTTTGTTTTGTTTTGTTTTGTTTTGTTTTGTTTTGTTTTGTTTTGTAGGGTCTCACTGTCGCCCAGGCTGGAGTGCAGTGACAGCGAACACAGCCTACTACAGCCTCAACCTCCTGGACTTAAACGGTTCTCCACCATAGCCCCCAAATTAGCTGGGACTACAGGTGCCTGCCACCGTGCCCAACTAATTAAAAAAAAAATTTTTTTAGAGATGGGATTTCACCATGTTGCCTGGGCTGGTCTCAAACCTCTGGGCTCAAGCAATCCTCCCGCCTTGGCCTTCCAAAGTGCTCGAATTACAGGCATAAGCCACCACACCCAGCCTAATTTTCTACTTCAAGGAATGCCTTGTGTAAATTTGCATAGCACTTTGTCGACGGAGTTCACAGAGTAGATTAATTCCACAGAAAAATGTTTAATAGCACAGTGTTCTTATTTAAGAAAATTGTTTTTCCTTCTTACTGGATTTATGAACTAAGCAGCTGTAAATTGCATTCAGCATCTTATTTAATCCACATGAATTCAGTTAACATATTTATTCAGTACTGGTCACTGTAGGTGACAGAAAAATGTTATGAACCATTTCCTCAAACTCTTGACAGAACTATAAGAACTGGCATTAAAAAGGACTAGCAAATGTGGTAGGCTGTGGTGGACATAGTTCATTTATCAGGAGAGATCGTTGAGGGCTAAGGCATTGGGTAAGGTTTTGTGTAGGAGGTAGGACTCATGGACAAGTAAAGGCTCTGGCTTTTAGGATAGTGAGCACTGGCACAGTGACATCTGTGGTGTAGGAGAAAACATTGGAACAGTGGTTTAGGTGACTAAGTCCACAGAGCAAGAACCAAGATCAGAAGCCAGGTATTATTACTCCAGTTTTATGCTTTGCTTTAGCTCACTCTACCTTTTGGTTGGTAAACATGCCTTTACTGTTTCCTCTGAAAGTGTTTAACTTCATGTTGAAAAATTAGTTTTTCATCTATAGCTTTTCATTTCAGGCAATGATGAAGTAAAACGGGGTGTCCTGCTGATGCTCTTTGGTGGCGTTCCAAAGACAACAGGAGAAGGGACCTCTCTTCGAGGGGACATAAATGTTTGCATTGTTGGTGACCCAAGTACAGCTAAGAGCCAATTTCTCAAGTAAGCATTTGCCTGATAATAGTATAGCAGGAAAAAGTGTACATAGTTCCCAGGCTGGCTGTGCTGCCAAGAATACAGTCACCATGGCCTTACTAGGAGTGTAAATTATGACTATGTTAAATATATAATTCTCATAAAGATATGGCAACATTTTACAATTTTTTAGAATAGGGAAAAATTGCCTGTAATACCAATCTCACATTGAACTCTTTAGTCTTTGTATAATATCTTTGTACAAAAGTGTTTGAATATGTGAATTATGTATTTTCATTATTGTAAATCATATTATACATACTTGTAATTTTAATTTTCCCTAAACATTTTTTCCATGTTTCTTTTTGCATGGAAAAATCTCGTGAGTTTCTCATTTTCACAGATGTCTTCTTTTGTTGATATATTATAACTTACAAAATCATTTCCTTAGCCCTGTTAAATTTAACAGGATAGTTTATTATAATAATTATTTATATAGATGCAGTGAACATCATAATGTTATACACATTTTTTGTTTGTTTTCTCTGGGTATATTGCTAGATACAGGATTGTTGAGACTAAGAATACAAACGAATGCTGTGAGATATTTTATGTTAACTTTGTCAGTGGGAACACTATTTTTGACTATTTTTAGAAGCTGTAATAAATACTTGGTTACTTTCAAACTTTTAAGAAACTTAGGGCCCAAAATAAAAGCAACCAGTTTCTGAGCACCTGCCGTGTTCTCGGTGCTGTGTATGTGTTATGTCTTACTCTGGCAGCACCCAGACAGGCACGTGTATTATTCCCTTTTTTTCAGGGAGTCACAACCTCTCCAAGCCTACAAGAAATTTGCCCACTCTCTTGTAGGTGAAAGGTGACACTGAGCCATGGATATTAAAATTCAGATACAGTTGCCATTGCCTGCAAAACGTGTGTACTTCGTGCTACATCAAGCTGCCTTTTCTTTATTTGTTTTGGAAATTTGTAACATAGTACCATTTTAGAATATTGAACGTTTTTAGTTGGTTTGGAGTTTTATGAGTAAATATTTCTTTTGAACATATCACGAACTGAGTTTTAGATTTTAAGATAGTAGTCCTGTGTTACAAAGGATTTTTTTTTCTTGTCATTCTCTCTCCCCCCACCCCACCCAAAAAAAAAGATGTACTACAGTGTTGCCTCTGGTAACAGTATCATGTGGTATGTGACAGTCTTAGTGAATTCCGTAGCATTTTTTATGTATAAAATCTGTGTATAATGATAGTTGGAGTATCCAATCTGGCTGCCTTTTTTTCTTGCCTAATTGCCCTTGATTAGAGCCATCAGTATAATGTTGAATAGAAGTGGCAAGAGCAGACATCCCTGTCTTGTTCCTGATCTTAGGGGCAAAACATTCAGCCTTTCACCTTTGAGTTTGATGTTATCTGTGGGTTTTCATAGATGCCCTTTGTCAGGTTAAAGAAAAAACCCTTTATTAGACTTAGGAAAATCTTCTCTATTCCTAGTTTGTTTGGTTTTTATAATGAAAGGTGTTGGATTTTGTCAAATACTTTTTCTACATCTGTTTTGGTGGTCATGTAGTTGTTTTATTAATTTAGCATATTGATTGATTTTCAGATGTTAAACCAATCTTGCATTTCTGGAATAAGCCCCATATCTAGTTTTGTTTTATTTTTAATTTCAAGACCTTCTGATAGTTGGTTGTTGCTATTTATTACTATTAAAGACTTTTAAAATTGATGTTTTAGCCAGGCGTGGTGGCTCACACCTGTAATCCCAGCACTTTGGGAGGCTGAAGTGGGTGGATCACGAGGTCAGGAGATCGAAACCATCCTGGCTAACACAGTGAAACCCCATCTCTACTAAAAATAACAAAAAAATTAGCCAGGTGTGGTGGCGGGCGCCTGTAGCCCCAGCTACTTGGGAGGCTGAGGCAGGAGAATGACATGAACCCAGGAGGCGGAGCTTGAAGTAAGCCAAGACTGCGCCACTGCACTCCAGCTTAGGCGACAGAGCAAGACTCCGTCTAAATAAATAAATAAATACAATTTAAAAATAAATAAATAAAATTGACGTTTTAGGCTAGGCGTGGTAGCTCACGTCTATAATCCCAGCACTTCGGGAGGCCGAAGTAGGTGGATCACCTGAGGTCAGGAGTTCGAGACCAGCCTGGCCAACATGGTGAAACCCCATCTCTACTAAAAATACAAAAATTAGCCAGGCGTAGTGGCGCACACCTGTAATCCCAGCAACTCGGGAGGCTGAGGCAGGAGAATCGCTTGAACCCACGTAGCAAAGGTTGCAGTGAGCTGAGATCACACCACTGCACTCCAGCCTCGGGGACAGAGCAAGACTCTGTCTCAATTTAAAAAAATTGATATTTTTATCAGGTATTAACTCTGAAAATATAAAAATTAGCCAGGCGTGATGGCGCATGCCTGTAATCCCAGCTACTTGGGAGGCTGAGGCATGAGAATCGCTTGAATCTGGGAGGTGGAGGTTGCAGTTAGCTGAGATCGTGACACTGCACTCGTTTGGTGACAGAGCAAGACTGTCTCAAAAAAAAAAAAAAAAAAGAAAAGCCGAAGGAGATGAGCCTTCCCATTTAGTCTGTGCATGTGTCTTTATGAATTGCTTAAGCTTAATGCCACCACTCTCAGATGTTCTTTCAGCGATTTAAACTCTTCCACTGGTTTTCCTGGGAAGGGTGCTGTATAGTGACATATTAATGAGTCTTTGTATGATAACCTTGAACAGGCACGTGGAGGAGTTCAGCCCCAGAGCTGTCTACACCAGTGGCAAAGCGTCCAGTGCTGCTGGCTTAACAGCAGCTGTTGTGAGAGATGAAGAATCTCATGAATTTGTCATTGAGGCTGGAGCTTTGATGTTGGCTGATAATGTAAGAACATTTTACACTCTTCAGTATAAAGAAGTCAGAATACCCCTACCCTATCAGTAAAGGCCTATAAGTTACTGTTAAAAAGATGTCTTTAAAAACAGCATTCTCAGCTGGGTGCGGTGGCTCACACCTATAGTCCCAGTACTTTGGGAGGCCGAGGTGGGTGGATCACCTGAGGTCAGGAGTTTGAGACCAGCCTGGCCAACATGGCGAAACCCCATGTTCTCTACTAAAAATACAAAAATTAGCTGGGCATGGTGGCGGGTGCCTGTGGTCCCAGTTACTCAAGAGGCTGAGGTGGGAGGATCACTGAGCCCGGGAGGTGGAGGCTTCAGTGAGTCGAGATTGCACCACTGTACTCCAGCCTGGGCGACAGAGCGAGACTGTCAAAAAACAAAACAAAAAACCCCAACATTCTTCAGTAAATAATTCATAGTTTTCTTCATCTAGAATTTAAAATTGTGATAATTGATCAGCATGTCCTGAGAATGTGTGTTTGCTGTGACTAGTTAAGATCAGTAGATGTGTACAAGTTGTAGGTATAAAATCAATTCTGGAGTTGACACAAGGTTTTGATGTTGAGTGAAAGTACAATAAGTGTATATTTTTAGTTATGCTCTTAGTTTTAAGTCAATTGTATGATTCTTTGTAGCTTTAGGATCTGTTGAATTATCTTCCTTAGAAAAGGGAGTTAAGAATCTTTACTTACCTATCTTCTACTAGTTTGGACAATAGAAGAGTCCCTGCGGTAGCAGACTTAGTGAGTTTACTTGTAATTTTCCATCTGAAAGACTGTTGTTGTTTTTTCGAGATGAAGTCTTGCTGTGTCGCCCAGGCTGGAGTGCAGTGGTGCAATCTTGGCTTACTGCAACCTCTGCCTCATGGATTCAAGCAATTCACCTGCCTCAGCCTCCCGAGTAGCTGGGATTACAGGTGTACGCCACCACACTTGGCTAATTTTTGTATTTTCAGTAAAGACGGGGTTTCCCCATGTCGGCCAGGCTGGTCTCGAACTCCTGACCTCATGATCCGCCCACCTCAGCCTTCCAAAGTGCTGGGATTACAGGCGTGAGCCACCACACCTGGCCATTGTGGTTTTTTAAGAGACAGGGTCTCACTCTGTCACCCAACTTGGAGTACAGTGGCAATCATAGCTCACCGTAACCTCAAATGCCTGGCCTTAATTAAGCATTCTTCCTGCCTCAGCCTCCCAAAGTGCTGGGATTACAGGTGTGACCCATACATCCAGCTTGAAAGACAGCTTCTTAGGCTTGATTTGTTTGGTTACAGGGTGTGTGTTGTATTGATGAATTTGATAAGATGGACGTGCGGGATCAAGTTGCTATTCATGAAGCTATGGAACAGCAGACCATATCCATCACTAAAGCAGGAGTGAAGGTATGTGTATCTACTTCTGTTCTACTGCATTGTCCATAGCCTTGTTGATTAATGTAGTACTAGAGAAGTTCACCTGGATAAAATTCATTACTTCAACTTGTAATGCTGTTCATTAAAATGGAAAATACAGCCCTGAGAATTATTTGTTCAAACTATAAATGTTGTTTAGAGTATTGTGTAAATATATTGCTGTGATAGTAGAGAAAAATGTCCATGAACAAAGCTTCATTTTCTTTGACGAAGCATGCTCCAATTATAACAAAAATAACCAAAGATCAACAGATGGATTATATATATGTATATAACTATTTATATTAACAGATAATTTAAATGAAAATAAGTATGATAGTATAACCAATACTAGGGAGAATCTAAACTTTAAAAGCCACAGATTCAAGTAGATTTTAAGCAGTACACAATTGTAAATTGAAAAGACAACTCTTTCCCTGCAACTCCCAGCAACAGTAGATGCTTAGTAGTATCTAATGGATAAAAAGGAATTTCAGGAGGAAGAAAAATAGGGATCTATTGAGTTTGTGCCCCTTTTAGGAATATTTTGTACATAAATAAGCATAATACCGACAGTTTCATTCCTGCTGGTTTAACTTCATTATTTTATTTTGGCAATCTTTTACCAGAACATATTAGTAGATCAACTTTGTTTTTTTATTACTTTCCCATATTCAATTGTATATACCACAGCTTGGTTCTTTAGACTCCTGTTGAGTGACATTTAGTTCATTTTCAGTGTTTTGTATTACAAACAAAGTTGTAGTAAGCATCCTTGAACACAGCATCCTCTTATATTTGGCTATAAGAGAAATTTCTAACAAATTGATGTCTTCAATGGTGTGCGCATCACACCACCAAAATCACATAGGAGTTCCTGTTTATGTGAAAAAGGATATCATTATTTTGGTTTGCGTTTAGTTAATTACGGGTGAGATTGAACATTTTGTTACATATTTATTGGCTGATGTCTATTTAAACCCATTAAGATTCTTTCTTTTGTGGTCAGGCTACTCTGAACGCCCGGACATCCATTTTGGCAGCAGCAAACCCAATCAGTGGACACTATGACAGATCAAAATCATTGAAACAGAATATAAATTTGTCAGCTCCCATCATGTCCCGATTCGATCTCTTCTTTATCCTTGTGGATGAATGTAATGAGGTAACCCCATGAGCTTCCTTTTTTATTTCCAGTTTGAGTAATCGAGTGAGACAAGGCTGGAAGATGCACTGCTCTACAGCTGGTGCATGTGTGTGCCCCAGCCTTTGATTTCCCTCAGGGTGGCACAGGATTGGGCAAAGGGTTTAGTAAGCAACTCAAAATAAAGTCATTTGAATTGTCACTTCCACTTAATTGTGTTAAAGAATATTAAGTTTTCAGGTTTTGTTACTATTTCTCAAAAGAAAACAAGTTACAGTTAACTTCCAACCACACTTTTTTTTTTTTTTTTTTTTGTAAACAGCCTCTCACTGGAGACTGGGCTGGAGTGCAGTGGCTCAGTCTTGGCCTACTGCAACCTCCACCTCCCAGGTTCAAGTGATTCTTGAGTCTCAGCCTCCCAAGTAGCTGGGATTACAGGCATGTAACACCACGCCTGGCTAATTTTTATATTTTTAGTACAGACAGGGTCTCACCATGTTGGTCAGGCTGGTCTTGAACTCCTGGCCTCCAGTGATCCACACCTACCTCAGCCTCCCAAAGTGTTGGGATTATAGGTGTGAGCCACTGTGCTGGGCCCCAACCAAACTCTTGAGATTTTTATATGATTTTTTGTTTTGTTGATTGAGCTTTTATTTTATTTTTCAGTCACCTTGAAAAAAACTGGGATGCCAAAGAAATTTCTTTTCGTCTTTTTTGTTAAATCATGAGTCATTTATCTTCGTATTTTTTCCTATAAAGTTGCTGAATATATTTTACCTTTTTTTCTTACTTTTAAGATTGAGTGGAAAAATGTAGATTTACTTGGATTCTGATACATTAGTTTAATTATTAGAGTTATTTGTACTTAAATATTTAACAATGCACCTCAGATACCCACAGAACTATATAATGACAGTTTGTAGGAACTAATATTTTAGGCCGTACTTTTTAAATCACTGAGCATGGAGGTTCTACATTTTATTGGGTACAATGCACAACTCTTTATTACAGTGGAACTTTAAATATTATCTAAATAAACACAACCTTCCATTTTGTGTTTGGAGGGCTTGAATTTTTATTTGTTTTTTAAAGACGAAGTCTTACTCTGTCACCCAGGCAGTGTCACAACCCTAGCTCATTGCAACCTCAATCTCCTGGGTTCCAGTGATCCTCCTGTCTAGGCCTCCCAAGTAGTTGAGACTACAGGTGTGTACTACCACGCTTGGTTAATTTTTTCATCTTTTTGTAGCAATAGCAGCAAGTTCAAGACCTGTGTTGGTCTTGAACTCTTGGCCTCAAACTACCTTACCACCTCAGCCTCCTGAGTAGCTAAGATTATAGGCCTGCAGCATCACACCTGGTTTGGTTTGGTTTGATTCAGTTTTTTCCCCTTCACAATACAGAGACATATTTAATCACCAGATAATTGAGTTGTCTGATTTTCATACATGATTCATTAAAGTAGCTTTAGTAGCAGATCAAGTTATAAACCTTTAAAACATTCAAGATTTTTTTAAAAACTGTTTTGTTTTGTTTTGTTTTGTGACGGAGTCTTGCTCTGTTGCCCAGGCTGGAGTGCAGTGGCACGATCTTGGCTCACTGCAACCTCCGCCTCCTGGGTTCAAGTGATTCTTCTGCCTCAGCCTCACAGGTAGCTGGGATTACAGGCATGTGCCACCATGCCCGGCTAATTTTGTGTATTTTTACTAGAGACGGGGTTTCACCATGTTGGCCAGGCTGGTCTCGAATGCCCACCTCAGCCTCCCAAAGTGTTTGGATTACAGGCGTGAGCCACCATGCCCAGCTTGTTTTGTTTTTGAGACGGTCCTACTCTTTCCTGCAGTGGTGCAATCGTGGCTCACTGCAACCTCAACCTCCTGGGCTAATGCAGTCCTCCCACCTCAGCCTCCTGAGTAGCTGGGACTACACATGTGCACCATTGTGCCCGGCTAACTTTTGAATTTTTTGTAGAAACAGGATTTTGCCATGTTGCCCAGGCTGGCCTCTAACTCCTGAGCTCAACCAGTCCGCCCACCTCAGCTTCTCAAAGTGTTGGGATTATAGGCATGTGCCACCGTACCTGGCCAAAAAGCCTTTTTTCTTTCTTTTCTTTTCTTTCTTCCTTTCTTTTCTTTTCTTTTCTTTTCTTTATTTTCTTTTCTTTTCCTTCCTTTCTTTCTTTCTTTCTCTCTTTCTTTCTTTTCTTTCTTTCTCTTTTTTGAGATGGAGTCTCACTCTGTTACGCAGTCTAGAGTGCAGTGTTGCAGTCTCAGCCCACTACAACCTCCGCCTCTCAGGTTCAAGTAATTCTCCTGCCTCAGCCTCCTGCGTAGCTGGGATCACAGGTGTGTGCCACCATGCCCGGCTAATTTTTGTATTTTTAGTAGAGACGGGGTTTCACTATGTTGGCCAGGCTGGTCTCGAACTCCTGACCTCAGGTGATCCCCCTGCCTTGGCCTCCCAAAATACTGAGATTACAGGCATGAGCCACTGCACCCAGCCTGTTTTATTTTAGTTATTTATTTTGAGACAGGGTCTGGCTCTGTTGCCCAGGCCAGAGTGCAGTTGCGTGATCTCAGTTCACTGCAACCTCTGCCTCCTGGGCTCAAGCCACCCTCCCACCTAAGCCTCCTGAGCAGCTACAGGTGCAGGCCATCATGCCCAGCTAAGTTTTGTATTTTTTGTAGAGACAGAGTTTTGCCATGGTGCCCAGTCTGGTCTTGAACTCCTGAGCTCAAGCTGTCCACCAGCCTTGGCCTCTCAAAGTACTAGGATTACAGGCATGAGCCACTGTATTCTGCCCAAACCACTTTTTAATTAGAAATAATTTCAAACTTACAGAAAAGTCGCAAGAAATGGAATAGTGCATAGAACACCCATATACCCTTTACCTGATTCACATATTAACATTACCCTGTTTGCTTTATTACTTACTGTCTCTATATATCTGCACACTTTTTCCCTGAACCATTTCAGACCAAGTTGCATATTTTGGGGTCTTTATTTATTTATTTATTTATTCAATATTCTGGGATGAATATCTTCAAAATTTAGTGGCTAAGAGCACAGTCTCTGAAGCTAGACTATTCAAATACTGGCTCCACTACTTAACTGTGACCTTGGGTAAATTACTTAACCTTCTAGGCCTCAATTTGCCCATTTATAAAATGGGGATAATATCATTTACCTAATGAGATTTTTGTGAGGATTGCATAAGTTAATTCTTCTAAGACCTGCTTAAGACAACAGTGTCTCATACACTGAGGGCCCTATAAATGTTAGTTCTGCTATTTTTGTTGTTTTGTTTTTGAGACAAGGCTTGCTCTGTTGCCCAGGCCGGAGTGCAGTGGTGCAATCATGGCTTCACTGCACCTTCAACCTCCTGGGCTCAGGTGATCTTCCTGCCTCAGCCACCTGAGTAGCTGGGATTACACATGTGCACTACCATGTCCAGCTAATTTTTTTGTTTTTTATTTTTTGTAGAGACAGGGAGGGTCTCACTTTGTTTCCCAGACTGGTCTCAAACTCTTGGCCTCAAGCTCTCCTCTCACATCAGTCTCCCAAGGTGTTGGGATTACAAGTGTGAGCCACTGCGCTTTACCCTACTGTTTTTAAAGGCATTCCTTCAGGTATAGTTTTAGAGTGGGGCAACGGTATACATTTAAAAGTTTGATTTTAAATCCAACTGTTCCCAAACTTTCATCAGAAACTTGGTACCCATTAATACTTCTGTAAGTGGCATCTTAGAGCTTGTTTTTGGCTATAAATCATTTCTTATTGCCTGGGATAGTCTGGAGAAGATATTGCTGTGACTATCAAAGTAATTTTCTTGTTTTGAATTAGGTTACAGATTATGCCATTGCCAGGCGCATAGTAGATTTGCATTCAAGAATTGAGGAATCAATTGATCGAGTCTATTCCCTCGATGATATCAGAAGATACCTTCTCTTTGCAAGACAGTTTAAACCCAAGGTAACCTACCCTTTTGTACTGGGATAAGGTATAATGGGTATATTGAAGTGGAATTTAAATAAGTGTATTATATGGAAATTAACTGAACCTGTCATCTACTTTAGTTCCTAAATTTTACAACTTTTTTTTTTTTTTTTTCCTGGAACAGCAATTTGTTTTTTCAGAGAGGGCTGAGAAAGGGAACTTTAAAAAAAATTCTGAATAATTCCATTATTCGTTTGGTGGTAATAAGATTTTTATGGTGGAAGAGTTTTGGATAGCTGGATAATCTAGAACATTCTTTATTTCAAACATTACTAAGAACCTTAAAATTGTTTATGTGCCTAAATCAATAGTTGAATTTTTCTTTGAGGGAAACATTGGATTCCTCTAGGCCATTATGATAAATACGAATTACTGACAGTGATTGATGTATTGTATTGGACTGACTCCATCCTGGACCCAGGATTCTTACCTGGACATAAACCCCCAAATGCTTGGCATTTTCCCAAAATAGGGTATGAAAAGAAAAAAAATATTTCATTCTGGTTGAAATTTTTATACTGTTGGCCAGCTTGACTTCTGGAAGGTGTTACTAGGTATTGATCATTTATCATCTTCACTTGATTATTCATGAGATTGTGGTTGGCTGTCACTGTCCCAGAAGAAATTTAATCTTTTAAGGGTTATGGGTGATTCTTGTGTAAAAAAGAGCATCTGTTCTCCATGACTGCATACTGATATACTGATCCCTGTGTAACCTTGGCATGCTTCCTTAATATGCTGAATTCTTTGCTCTGAAAAGCTGAGTATCCTTTAGATATAAAGTTTATTGAAACAGCTTTTTTTCCCTCCAAAGACAGCATGAGTTAATTAATTAAGCCTCAAATACTGAGCATTAATTTGTTTAATGAGCATTGACATCCTGAGGTGTAAAAGACATTACGTCTTGTTCCATTGCTTCAGCTTGTTAAGCAGCTTTTAGAAATGGTCATTTGCTTAAATACTAAGCTTTTTTTTCATGTTCATAAAATTAGTAACGTGGAATTCACAAGCCTGCTTATTATTAGTCTCTTTTGAAAGACATTACAATAGTAATTTATTGTCACTGGTTTCTCCAAGTTTCAACCCTCTCAGTTCCCTAAATGTTTCCACCTGAAAGGCTCTTAAACTCACGTTTACGGTAGCTCTCATCAAATAGAAATGTTTTTCTAACTTGAGTGATGATCCAAAACAGATTTCCAAAGAGTCAGAGGACTTCATTGTGGAACAATATAAACATCTCCGCCAGAGAGATGGTTCTGGAGTGACCAAGTCTTCGTGGAGGATTACAGTGCGACAGCTTGAGAGCATGATTCGTCTCTCTGAAGCTATGGCTCGGATGCACTGCTGTGATGAGGTATCAGAGTCACTTTGATATGATAAGAGCAGAGATAAACAGATTTGTTGCCTTGTAGGCATATTTTTAATCTTTGGTATGGGACGTACTAGAATTCGCTGCAAATATATTTTTTTGTAACTGTCGAGTGCTCACAGGACCATGGAATTCTTCCCTTTAAAAAGCTTGTTAAGCATTTGAGTGTAGTTGTTAGACGGAGATGATCACGTCATAGGTTATAGAGTGCATAAAGACATAAGTTACCATTTAATACCTTTCATTCAGGAAAAATGTACTTAGACCCCACAAGGTACTAGTAGGCCTCTGCGCTGGCAATACAGATAAGATAATGTAGCCCCTGGCCTCAGAGGAACTCTCCTCCTTAGGTTGCATTTGTATAATGTTTGATTTTTAGATTGTTCTTTGAGCCCTGCGTTCCACGAGGATAGGTCAGTGGGTATTAATGGGGTAAAAGGGGAGTAGTACGAAAGGGCAATCAAGCGTCCCATCTTCGCTTCAACCAAAGCAGCCCTGCTTTTTCCTAGTTTTATTAATAGGTTTGGTGTAAGGTTTTCTTTGAAAAGGGGGTTTGGCTTTTTTTTTTTTTTACAGTATGATGAGGTTTTTCACATACATCCTTATGAATACCCAGCTCAAGTTCCAAAACATTTCCATAATTTCAGAAAGTTCCCCCTGCCTCTTTTCAGTCTTAGCCCTCTTCCCCTGAAGTAACCACTGTTCTGACTTTAATCACTACTTTTATCCCACAGGTTAATTTTTTGACGTTTTTCCCCTAAATTTTCAAATTCTTTGATATGGTACTTTACTGTTGACGAAGTACTTTCACACTAAGTTATTTAATATTCTTTGATTCGCCTAATATTTAGGGAACACCTGTAGGGGACAAAAAATGAATGAGAGCCCCTACCTTCCATTGCTTCTAATCTGGTGGGAAGGAGACATGTATTTAGTTAAGCATGTAAAAAATGAGAGAGAGTGGGTGATCAAATAATCTATATACCAAATCCCCATGACACACAGTTTACCTGTGTAACAAACCTGGGTGTGTACCCCCGAACCTAAAATAAAGGTTGGAAAGGAAAAAAAAAAACCAATGAGAGGGAGAATATAATAGAGCATCACAAGCAGAGTATTGAGATGAATTACTTTAGGAGGAGGAGGACTTAGGGAGGGGCCGACATTTAAACCCAGTTACTGAAGGGTGTGCAGAATTTGGATAGGCCAGATACCCTGGGACAAGGTCATTCTAAAAGCATGCTAACATTTGTACTTTTTTTTTCATTGTGATAGGTCCTGAAATGAGTTTCATGAAACTGATATGTGTCTTAGGGCAGTCTCTAATTTATTTTTATTTTGTTCTATTTTTAAAAATTAGTCTTTAAATAGATAGCAAATTCACATGATATTAAAATATATGCACATAAATTATACACACAAACATATATTCTGAATGAAATTTAGTATCTTTGAATATATTTAAGAGCTATTTCTGTCTCTTTATATGTTCATAATCTTTATCCATTAAAAAAACTATTTTGTTAGAAAGGCCTTTCTCTAAGATTATAAAAAAATCTCCCATTATTTTCCTAGCTAGTTTTCTGTTGTTCCATCACCATTTATTGAACAATCCATCTTTTTGACACTGGTTCAGCATGCCTTAATTATATATTCTTGTGTGTGTTAGGATTTCCTTTTGGACTTTCTATTCTGTTTCATTGAGTCTTATCAGCTCCTCTTACATTGGTACCATGATGTTTTAATCTATGGGGCTTTGTAGTTTAAATATAGGGCTAATTCCAGCGCATTGTTTTCTTTCAGCTGTTAGGAACTTAGAAATCAGCCTGCTCTGTTTTAAAGAAAAACCTGGTATTTTTTATCAGTATAACATTCAATTTATATTAACTTGAAGAATTGAAAACATCTTTATGATTTTTCCTATTCAATAGGATAGCACTTAGAATAGGTTAGGTTGTACTACTATAAAATCTCAGCTGCATAAAACAATTTTTTTGCTTTGCTACACATCCATTAGGTCATCAGGGGACTCATCTTGTCAAGTTACTCAGAGATTCAGGCTGATATAAAGGCTTGATCTTGACATACGCTTTTATGATGACAGAAAGCAGGGAAGAGAAGGTGGTGAGCCACGTGCTTTCTCCACCTTCTATCCAGAAATGGCACATACTCACATTTCATTCTCCAGAGAAATTAACATGGCCACCCCTAAGTTCAAGTGGATAGAGAAATGCCTTCCTACCAGGTGCCCAGAATGAGAAGAGCAAACATTTGTGAACAGTTCTGATTACCACAAATACCACAAATACCTTTCCACTTAAGTCTTTTGTTTCACTCAGTAGTGTTTTAAACTTTTCTTCATGTGTTTTTTGACATTTCTTATTGAATTTATTTCTTGATATTTTATCATTTTTATTTGTACTGGAAGTAGCCTTTTTTTCCATTTCATTTTCTGTCCGGTTTCATTGCTGGTTGTTTTTTTGGTTTTTGTTTTGTTTTTGAGATGGAGTCTCACTCTGTCGCCCAGGCTGAAGTGCAGTGACGCAATCTCGTCTCAGTGCAACCTCTGCCTCCCAGGTTCAAGTGATTCTTCTGTCTCAACCTCCCAATTAGCTGGGATTACAGGCATGCGCCACCATGCCCAGCTAATTTTTTGTATTTTTAGTAGAGATGGGGTTTCTTCATGTTGGTCAGGCTTGTTCTCTAACTTCCAACCTCAGGTGATCTGCCTGCCTCTGCCTCCCAAAGTGCTGGGATTATAGACGTGAGCCACGATGCCTGGCCTAGTTCTTATGGGATGTATATGTCTTTGGGTTCATATGATATGTGTATATGTTCGTATTTCTACAAGTACATACTTAGGAGTGGAATTGTTGGATCATAGGTTAATGCATGTTTTTCTGCCAAACAGTTGTGTCAATTTCTGTTTTCACCTGCTGTAAATGAGAGTTGTTCTACCTTCTTGTCAACACTTGATATTGTCAGTCATTTTAGCCATTCTGGTGAATTTCTAGTGCTGTCTCTGTGTATGTAAGAGAGAATGAGAGAGGGTGTTTGTGAGAAAATCAAAGCAACACTGAGAGTGTATGTGTTTGTGAGAAAACCAAAATACATACTACTGTGATTTCATTGGGAGAAAATCTGTTTGGTATATCAAGAAAAGTAACTGAATTACTTCATTGTTATTGGTTTAGGTCCAACCTAAACATGTGAAGGAAGCTTTCCGGTTACTGAATAAATCAATCATCCGTGTGGAAACACCTGATGTCAATCTAGATCAAGAGGAAGAGATCCAGATGGAGGTAGATGAGGGTGCTGGTGGCATCAATGGTGAGATACTTGTTCATATAACTGTTTTGGAGTTAGGGACCAAAACATTTTCTGAGATGTCATGTGGTAGAAGTGCACCTGCTGATGGTTAATGAAGTCTATGGTAGCAAAAAGGAAAAAGCAGATACTGAATTCTATTAACTGTTTATAAGTTAAAATGAAATTAAATAGTTGATATATATATACTTGGCCGGTACGGTGGCTCTCACCTATAATCCCAGCACTTTGGGAGGCTGAGGCAGGTGGATCACAGGGTCAGGAGTTTGAGAACACCCTGGCCAATATGGTGAAACCCCGTCTCTACTAAAAATACAAAAATTAGCTGGGCGTAGTAGAGGCTGCCTGTAGTCCCAGCTACTCGGGAGGTTGAGGCAGGAGAATCTCTTGAACCCGGGAGGCGGAGGTTGCAGTGAGCTGAGACCGCACCACTGCACTCCAGCCTGGGTGACAGAGCGAGACTCTGTCTCAAAATATATATATGTATTTGAGAGACTAAAATAAAAGGCACCAAAATGGTGATAATAGACATAAATCCCCTGGGTTTTACCCTAATTTGTATTGTTGTTTTGCTTCTGAATTTAAAACATTGTTTAAATCACATTAGAACAGAAAAATACTAGAAATTTTATTTATTTTGAGATGGAGTCTCATTCTGTCACCCAGGCTGGAATGCCTTGGCACACTCGTGGCACTGCAGCCTTAACTTCCTGGGCTCAAGCAGTCCTTCTCCCTCAGCCCCTCTAATAGCTGGGACTATATGCCCATGCCACCACTCCTGGCTAATTTTTTGTAGAAACAGGATCTCGCCATATTGCCCAGGCTGGTAGAATTTTTTATTTTGTATATAATACTGCAAGTGGACTTTCAGATTGTGAAATCTTTATATCTCTGATCCCTCACATTCCTCCCGTTAGTTTTTGTCTTTACTAGTAGAGTTTATACATTTGCTTCTAATTTATTTGAAAATTATTATATACTCTGTATAACTGTATGCTTGGTTTATTTTTTTTTTATTTATTTATTTTTTTTGAGACGGAGTTTTGCTTTTGTTGCCCAGGCTGGAGTACAATGGTGCAGTCTCATCTCATTGCAACCTTTGCCTCCCGTGTTCAATCTATTCTCCTGCCTCAGCCTTCTGAATAGCTGGGATTACAGGCACCCACCACCATGCCCAGCAAATTTTTGTATTTTTAGTATAGACAGGATTTCACCATGTTGGCCAGGCTGGTCTCAAACTCCTGACCTCAGGTGATCTGCCCACCTTGGCGTGAGCCACTGCAACTAGCCAGTTTATTTCATTTTTCATTTTTATTTTTTGGCAGAGGAGATCATGTGGGAATGTATGCTTGTTTTAAAATTAGTATTAAGGCTGGGTGTGGTGGCCCACGCCTGTAATCCCAGCACTTTGGGAGACCAAGGCAGGAGGATCACTTGAACCCAGTAGTTCGAGACCAGCCTGGGCAACATAGCAAGACCCTGTCTCTAAAACAAACAAAATAATAATAATTTTTAAAAGTGAAAAAAATCAGTATTAAATATAAGTAGTATATTTGTAAATGCTTGACAAGGAGATGTTAGGGGCACAAAAATAAGATTCAGGTGGTCAATTTTTCACTTAGGTCATGCTGACAGTCCTGCTCCTGTGAATGGGATCAACGGCTACAGTGAAGACATAAATCAAGAGTCTGCTCCCAAAGCCTCCTTAAGGCTGGGCTTCTCTGAGTACTGCCGAATCTCTAACCTTATTGTGCTTCACCTCAGAAAGGTGGAAGAAGGTGAGGCTTACCTGGTACTGCTTACATGCTCGGTCACTTCTGTAAGCTCTGTTCACATAGGCCACTTGTGATTGCCAAACTTCGTGTTGTTCTGTTGGAAGAAAGGATAAGTTGTTAGATAAACTCACTTTAGCAAAGTAAATTTGTGGAGTATCAGCATACCTGCCAGCCTGAACATTTCTTCACAAGCTTATTGTCAGGCAGAGGTTTATAGGTCCTTCTTTTTAACATTCTAAGCCTATTTTAATAATTTTGGGACCCAATAACATATGAAGCAGCACATACAAATGTTTTTACAAATGCAAAATTACTATTCCCTTACAATGGTCCTGTTTTAAAACAGCTGGACCCTTAGGGTATATTTTAACAGTAATTAATTGAACCCAGAAATCTGTACTATCAAAAGGCCATTGTAGACTAGAAATGGAGGAGTAAAATCCTCATCTAGTTATTAGTAAAGTGTGGCATCTGGACACTAGTACGCTTCCTACCCTTAACTGCTTTACCATGCTATTCAAAGTTTCATCACTCTATGGTTAACTACAAAGCGGAAGGAAAAATTATGAATTCAAGATGTTGAACCTAAACTTCTACTTGATAGTTAAGCATCAGATAATTCTTGATTAAAAGCCCCAAGGATGGCTTGTGCCGGCTTCCTGGAATATTTTGTCATCACAGTATTTGCTCTGCTATGAAAGAAGAGAACAAGAGATTGTCGTTTCTGCTCTTGTTCCCTTGGGAACTTTAGACCAGTAAGAGAGAAGGCAACAAAGTGGCCACTAGGACACCTCAGCTTTTGTCCTCATTCCCATCTTGCACAAAATGATTTGGGAACTCAAGGTGTTCTTGATTCATGTTATATGTCATTATTCTCTTTCTCCCTCATACAGCTAAGTTTTAAACATAGCAGAAGTTGAGTTTTATGATAGTTATGTTATCCAGGTCCAAACATTTCCTATGTGTTGACAGTTCTACCAGGACTTTCTAAAAGTCTGGTAGACGTTGGACTTGTTAAAAGAAGCAGGCAGTTCAGTTAGTAAGATGAACCTTGCTAAAATAAACGGTAATTTTTTATTTTGAGTGAATACTCATAAATTTTACTTAAACTCCAGTTCCATAAAGCCTTACCCTTTCTACAGAGGAAAAGTTGTTATATTTCAGAATTTTTGCTTGCTATTGCTTCATTCCTAATTTATGGTTTTAGTTTCTGTTGGCAAAGATTCTCAGAGGTGGTAAAGCATAAGAAGATGAAGAAAAGACCTTCATACTTTGAAATCTTAATAGCTTTAAGAAACGTATTTCTTATAATCTATTTTATTAGGTTTCTCTCCTTATGGATAAAGGAAGGCATGCTTTAATACAAGTGATATGACTTGTTATTTCAGGCTTACGCTAGAACATTGCGGACCTTATGTCAGCAGATGTACTTTCGGACAGCTTGATGTTTATCTAATCTGTACATTATCTTGTTGTATATGTGGCAGAAATTTAACCGAGGACTGACAGTACAATTTGCTAGGTTAATTTAAATGTGTTTTTTTTGTTGCAGAAGAGGACGAGTCAGCATTAAAGAGGAGCGAACTTGTTAACTGGTACTTGAAGGAAATCGAATCAGAGATAGACTCTGAAGAAGAACTTATAAATAAAAAAAGAATCATAGAGAAAGTTATTCATCGACTCACACACTATGTAGGTGCAGAAGTGCGCTTGTTCTGGTATCAGGGAGGGAGGAAGTTCATGCCCTGTATCTGCAGGTTCACTAGTGAAATTTTTTTTGACCTTTGTTTGTTTTGAATCATTGGAGTATAGTCAGAAGTATGAGTTGTAAAATAAGGGAGAATTAACAGCAGGTAAATGACTTATTTCCTCTGCTGAAACAAGCAGAATTTAGGTTAAGTCTCAGAAGGTGGGATTGCGGTCTTACTAGTTAGGTGTTTTAAGCTTCTGTTTCCCACCCTCCTATTTGCCCTTGGTCGTACTGCTGTCACCTGCTCCCTGTTTCATTTTCCTCACATTTTTAGTTCCCACCTTACCCAACCCAATAGTAAATCTTCTGTCTTGCTTGTTTGGTGAAACCTCAAACTTGGTTAAATATAACTTTTTTTTCTTGTATCCTTTTCTGAGCAGCTGAAATTATCTGGAGAAAAGCATACAATTGTGAGCCCAGTCTTATTTAAATTGATGACCAGAAGTCTCAAGTGGATAGTTCTTATTGTCTCATTAACCTCATGACAGCACTGCCCAGTGCAATTCCTTTTCCCTGGTCAGCTCTTTGCCTCACTCTCTCACAGGACCATTGCATGCCTTCTCTCCACTCCTGTCAGCTGGCCATTCGCAGTACTCAGCCTGTCCACAGCTTTGTCACAGTTGATCACTCCTAGAAATACTGTCTTCTTAACTTGGTTCTGAGTCACTATATCCTCCTGGGGCTTCTTTCTCACTGGTTATTCTCTCTTAGTCTCTTTCCCTGAATCTATCTTTTTTTTTGAGACGGAGTTTCGCTCTTGTTGCCCAGACTGGAGTGCAATGGCACAGCTCACAGCAGCCTCCACCTCCCGGGTTCAAGTGATTCTCCTGTCTCATCCTCCCAAGTAGCTAGGATTATAGGAGCCTGCCACCATGCCCAGCTAATTTTTGTTTTTGTTTTTTTTTCAGTAGAGACAGGGTTTTGCCATGTTGGCCAGGCTGATCTAGAACTCCTAACCTCAGGCGATACACCCACCTTGGCCTCCCAAACTGCTGGGATTAGAGGTGTGAGCCACCGTGCCTGGCCTGAATCTTTCTCTTCTTACTTTACTCACAGATTGCTTGCATTCATTACCTAAGTGATCTCATTTGGTTTTATGAATTTACCCATCTACTGATGACTTCCACATTTATGTCACCAGCTCTCACCACTCCTGTAAACTCCAGATGTGTAGAGCTGGTTGCCTACTGAGAGCGTTTAACAGGCATCTCGTGCTTAATGTGTTCAAAAACAGAGTTGTTCTTACTCAATTGCTATAGGCCAAACACTTTGAAATTGTCTTTGACTCCTTGATTCCACTCTCCTCTCACAACTCCTCTTCAGCAGCAAATCCTCTGACCCCTACCTTCTGTGTGTGTATATTTTCTGTTCTCTTTTCACTGCCTTCACTAGCCTACCCAAGCCACCAGGCATGGACTTTCGCAGGAGCCTCATAATTGTCCTTTTTTTGTATTGGCGTCTTGCTCAGCAGCCAGATAAGTCTTTTTAAAATATAAATCAGATTATTTTACTGCCCTCCCTTCCAGTGCTTCTCTCATATAACAATGAAATTCAGCCTCCTTGTCATGGCCTGCAGAACTATATATAATGTAACCCCTGTCCCCTCATTCACCTCATTTCACAGCACTCTTCCCCTTGCCCATTCCACCCCAGTGACACTGGCCTTGTTCCCTAGACACACCAAATATGAGGGCCTTTGCACTCACCCTTTGTCTTTTTCCCTAGATACCCTCCTCCTCTCCAGTGTCTGCTCAAATGTTACCTCTTCAAAGAAGCCTTTCTTGCTAGCCTGCCAAAATAATAGCCTTCTGCTTTTGCTGGCACCCTGCCTTGTATTTCTTCATAATGTTTAACATGGCCCAGCAGTATATTCTTTATTTAAGTGGTTAGTTTGTCTCTCTTATAGAATATAAGCTCTATGAGGGTAGAGACTTTGCCCCAGGAGCTACAGTGGTGCCTGGCACATAGCAGGATCAAATATATGTTGAATGATTAAATTTTCCTATTATGTGGCAGAGATTTAACTGTTGTGCCAATTCACAGTGCTCACTATGTAAATATTACAGAGGTCATGTATTGGAGTTGTGTCTTCTGAAAAACCGTCTTACTGTGAAGGTAGATCAGTGTGTGATTATTGGGGAGTAGGGAGATGTAAGAAAAGCTACTCAGATCAGGGTCTAGAGTTGCTTTTCTAGTGGCGGGACATGTCTATGTGCTCCTTGGGATCAGCGTAAAGTAAAACGACCCAGGCAGGGAATCTACTTCAGGACTTTGGAACACATTGTGAAGCTAACTGATCTAAACTTGAATTACTTACTTACTTACTTACTTATTTATTTGAGACAAAGTCTTGCTCTGTTGCCCAGACTGGAATGCAGTAGCATGATCTCAGCTTGCCGCAACCTCCGCCTTCTGGGTTCAAGTGACTCTCTTTTTTTGAAACGGAGTCTCGCTCTGTCGCCCAGGCTGGAGTGCAGTGGCCGGATCTCAGCTCACTGCAAACTCCGCCTTCTGGGTTTACACCATTCTCCTGCCTCAGCCTCCCGAGTAGCTGGGACTACAGGCGCCTGCCATCTCGTCTGGCTAGTTTTTTTTTTTTTTTTTTTGTACTTTTTAGTAGAGACGGGGGTTTCACTGTGTTAGCCAGGATGGTCTCGATCTCCTGACCTCGTGATCTGCCCGTCTCGGCCTCCCGAAGTGCTGGGATTACAGGCTTGAGCCACCGCGCCTGGTCTCAAGTGATTCTCTTATCTCAGCCTCCAGAGTAGCTGGGGTTACAGGCGCCCGCCACCACACCCAGCTAATTTTTTTATTTTTAGTAGAGATGGTGTTTCGCCATGTAGGCCAGGCTGGTCTCAAACTCCTGACCTCAGGTGATCCACCTGCCTCAGCCTCCCAAAGTGCTGGGATTACAGGCATGAGCTGCTGCGCCTGGCCTGGATTACCTTTTAAAATTTGGCTTACCACCTGAACTAATTTACTACAGAAAACTAGAGAGCTTATACTGTGCTGATCAGATATGCTTCCTGTGAAGGTATGTTAACACATAGAGTGAGTGCTTGGAAGTGTCCAGTCCAACCTAAGGAATATATTTGAAAGGGCAATTTTTTAAAAAGTGTCCAGTCCCCCTTAGTGGCATCAGCCTTTATACTGTGGAGCTTTGCCAAACTTCTTAGGATCAAATCACAATTTGCTGAGTTCCTTTCTATAGGCTTGGCTAGGAGCTCTTCTCATTTGTGGACATTTTTGACTGACCTATAATTATATCATGGGCTTAAAATCTGTCATCAAGATTTTAAGCTAGATGGCATGTTCTACCTTTTTTTTATTAGTTCAGAGTGAAAAATTTTCAGATGAATTTTCTTCATAGATTGTTCTTCTAACTCTATGAAATGGTGGTATATGAAAAAGTTCAGTGGTCAGTAATTAAAAATTGCTGAACGATATTAAGTATGAAACAGACTTCCAGTTAATTAGAAGATTTTGCAGAATTGTTTAACCTTAAAATTCAATCATTGCTTCCTTTTTTGAAGTTATATTTACAAGCATTTGATGTAATATATTTAAGTATTTCTTAATTTTCCACAAGGGGTTTATGGTATGAAAAGGTCAGCATCCTACTAGGAATAGGGTTTAGCAGAGCACTGATAGTGATTTTTGAAGTGTGGTCCTTTTCCTAAGAGTTTCTAGTTGGGAAATGAAAGAAAATGTTGATAGCAAACACTCAGAAGAAGGGTCAAGTCTTATATCTGGACATTGGTATAATACTGCTTGAAACCTGAGGACAAATATTTGTGTTTCACAGGATCATGTTCTCATTGAGCTCACCCAGGCTGGATTGAAAGGCTCCACAGAGGGAAGTGAGAGCTATGAAGAAGACCCCTACTTGGTAGTTAACCCTAACTACTTGCTCGAAGATTGAGATAGTGAAAGTAACTGAACAGAGCTGAGGAACTGTGGCACACCACCTTGTGGCCTGGAGCCTGGCTGGAACTCTGCTAGGGACAGAAATGTTTCTGGAAGTGATGCTTCAAGATTTGTTTTCAGAAACAAGAATTGAGTTGATGGTCCTGTGTGTCACATTCATCACAGATTTTATACCAACACAGGCTTCAGCACTTTGGTGTGTTTCCTGTCCCAGTGAAGTTGGAACCAAATAATGTGTGGTCTCTATAACCAATAACCTTTGTTTTCATGTGTAAGAAAAGGCCCACTACTTTGAAGGTATGTGCTGTCTTATTGAGCAAATAACTTTTTTTCAATTGCCAGCTACTGCTTTTATTCTTCAAAATAAAATAACTTGTTCTGAAGTTGTCCATTGGATTTCCTTCTACTGTACCCTGATTATTGCTTCCATCTACTTGTGAATGTGAGTCTTTCCCTTTTTGCTTAATCTGGAGTGAAGGGGTAGGTAGAACTGTGGCATTATGGATTAGGTTTCTATGAGAAGGAGTCATTAGAGAATTCATATGAAAGCTAGAGGCCTTGGAGATGACTTTCCAAGGTTAATTCCCTTTTTTTTTTTTTAAGTTTATAAAAATTAAAAGTTTATTGTACTTTTTTAAATTACTCTTTAATTTCTTTACTTCTGTGTCCTAAGGGTAATTTCTCAGGATTGTTTTCAAATTGATTTTTTAGAGGAAGTAGGTCATTTGCTATATTATAAGCTATCCTCAAATTTTATGGTCTTCCAGGAAACGTTATTACCATTTATGATACTAACAGTTCCTGAGACTTAGCTATGATCAGTATGTTCATGAGATGGAGCAGTTCCTGTGTTGCAGCTTTTAACAACAGATGGCATATCTGGGACCTGCAGGGCCAATTAGGGAAATGTAGTAGTTCCATGTTCTATATGGTGAGCTTATAAATAGTAACTTCACTTTCTGCTGACTTGAAAAGGATGGGGTGAGATGAGGGGGCCTGGAAATGGATAGAGAATTTACATAGCAGATGCAGGGTATAAGCTGTCAAGCATGTTTTTAATGGGGGTGTGAGGACCCTTGACACTGCAATGAGGAAGCTCTGGGGCGCAGGATCTCAGACTTCCTGTTGGGGGAGTGATAGGGGTACTAGCATAGTACAAACACCAGGCGGGACATTGTAGTGAAAATTTAGGAGACAGCAAGAAAGAGCCCTCTCCCACTTGTATTAGGAAGAGCATCTCCCTGCACTGATTTCATAAGGAAAATGGGGTGCAGAGATCTTGAAACAATATGACTGGAACTTGAACTTTAATTTGACTATTTACTAAAGGAAATTTTACGTCCAGGAAAGATACATTCATTTTTGGCAGATGCGTCCACTCCCAGTCCTGCCCTTAATGAGAGTGGGGGCTCCAGAACAAGGTGAGATAATTACTGCATATCCCCTTTTTCCACATCTGAGTATGTGTCCTTATGTTTCCACACATTCAGTTTCTCCATGTGGTACTTGTCAGGGAGATGAGGTGGTTAATGGATAATGGATCTTATATGAGACCTTTGTGAAGAAAATTAGACAAATATTTAAGATAAGTGGATAGACATAGAATGGAAAGATTTGAATGCCATAAATTGTCAACTGATGTATTAATACATTTTTAACCAAATCCCAACAGACACCCATCAATAAGGAAATTATTAAATAAGCTGTGGTACAGCTACACTGTGAGATACCCACAGACAAAATTGAGGTAGACCTAGATGTTTTGAAATTGAAGTATCTCTAGGACACATGGGAAAGAAAATGTGCAAATACAGTCAAGATGATTCTGGGGAAAAGGATGATAAAAGAAGCTTTGCCCTATCTGAAAGCAAAAAGTACTGCGCAAGTGTAGAAATTAAGATCAGTAACGACTGGCAAGTGAACAGATAAATCAGTCGCAACAGTAAAAAGTCCAGAAACATCTATGCACATGATAGGTTTTTCATTTGATAAGGTGACATTTCAAATATTAGAGGAAGGGTAGCCTATTCAGTGTTAGAAATTAGCCTGCCACACAGCATACCCAAGTTAAAATTCAAGATGCATTAGAGATTTAAAGATAAAAGGTGAGTACGCACATATAGTTAGATATTTAATAGCAGATGCTATGCTAATGTTTGATAGCATAATGGGGTGACTAGTTAGCAACAATGTGTTGTATATTTCAAAGTAACTGGAAGAGAGAACTTGAAATGTTTCCAGCACACAGAAATGAAAAATATTCAAGGTGATAGGTACCCGAAATATTCTGACTTGATCATTACACATTCTGTGCACACAAAATAACGCATGTACCCCATAAATACGTAAAATGTGTCAATTTTAAAAAGGGAATTTGAAAAACAACTGAAGGAAGTCAATCACGCTTTCCATGAACCTCCTCCCTCCCTCTTTTCTGCCACTCCAAAGCTGTGTGGGCCTATTGTGTGAGAGTCTTAATCCTGCCAAATACAAAGAAGCATATTTGTTACTGAAAAAAATGTTCTTCCGTAGGATTACCATTTTGTATCTGTATTTTGAAAACAAGTTGTTAGAAATGTTTTCTAATGTCATTAGTGTCAGGAACTGGCATTTTAAGAATTGTGCCTGTGATGAAGATCCATTAAATCACAAAGTATGTTAAAGGTCACAAAAGCAAAATACTGTCTAAGGCTAAGGCCCACATGGGACAGTCTAATACCCATGAGTACTCAACTTGTCTTGATGTCTGAGCTTTGCAGTGCAATGTGAATTTGAGCAGCCACAAATCTATTAGTAGAAAGCAAGACAGATTAATATAGGTTAAAACAATGGTGTAAACACATTTCTCCCAATAATTATCTCTTTCCCTGGGATCAACTTGTATGAAACCTTGTCAAAATGTACTGCACAAGTATGTACAATTATTATGTATTTTAAAAATAAAAACAAATGACAAATATTGAAAACGAATGAATACTCAAGTAGATTTGTCACAGGATTTTTATAAAAAGACGGTATCAGGTAATACATCTTTAAAGAGTATAGGCTGCTCTGCCAACGCAGTAACCATTTTTTATTCCTTTCACTTAATAGGCTTGCTTTCACTTAAGAAAAAAAAAAGGCTGGGCACGGTGGCTGACACCTGTAATCCCAGCACTTTGGGAGGCCGAGGTAGGTAGATCACAGGAGGTCAGGAGTTCGAGACAAGCCTGGCCAACATGGAGAAAACCCATCTCTACTAAAAATACAAAAATTAGCCAGGCATGGTGGCGGGGTGCCTGTAATTCCAGCTACTCGGGAGGTTGGGGCAGGAGAATTGCTTAAACCCAAGAGGTGGAGGTTGCAGTGAGCTGAGATCATGCCACTGTACTCCAGCTTGGGTGGCACCACCAACAACAACAACAACAAAGATTCCCGCCGGGCGTGGTGGCTCACGCCTGTAATCCCAGCACTTTGGGAGGCCAAGGCGGGTGGATCACAAGATCAGGAGATCGAGACCATCCTGACTAACACGGTGAAACCCCGTCTCTACTAAAAACACAAAAAAATTAGCCAGGCGTGGTGGCGGGTGCCTATAGTCCCAGCTACTCGGGAGGCTGAGGCAGGAGAATGGCGTGAACCCGGGAGGCGGAGCTCTTAAGAGCTGTCAGGTGAAGAAAAGAAGGCTGAAAAACTACACATGGCATGATTCCATGTATGTTAAGTTGTTTTATATTTTAAATGTTCTACAAATGTTTCCGTTTGTATATATGTAATAATAATGATCCCTGAGCAGTACTATTCCATACATGCTACAAGAAAGACCCATTTAATCCCCAAAGCCTATGATGAATTATCCACATTCTACAGGTGACAACATTGAGGCACAAAGTTAAGTAATTTTCGTCAGATGAGATTTAAACCCAGGCATTCTGACTCCTGTATAACCATTAAGATATGCAGAGAAAGAAAACTGGAAAGATGCATATTGTTGAAGATACTTATTCTAGGAAGAGGAGGGGGGAGGGTGAAGGAATTTGCAAGTTTTTCATAGATGTTTCCATATTGTTCGAATCTCTTACAAAATGTGTTCAGCATATTTTTAAAGAAGGAAAATTTGGGGCAAAGGACTTATTTTTGTTGTATTATGTAAACAAATTTTTAAATAATTTGTGGCTGGGTGTGGTGGCTCACACCTGTAATCCCAACACTTTGGGAGGCTGAGGCAAGAGGATCGCTTGAGCCCAGGAGTTCGAGACCAGCATGGGTGACATGGCAAAACTCCATCTCTACTAAAAGTACAAAAAATTAGCCAGTCGTGGTGGCACACACCTATGGTCCCACCTACCCAGGATGCTGAGATGGGAGGATCGCTTAAGCCCAGGAAGTCAAGGCTGTAGTGAGCTGTGATCGCACCACTGCACTCCCACCTGGGCAACAGAGTGAGACCCTGTCACCAAAATAAATAAATAAATAAAAACTTGATAATTGTTTTCTTCAGACATTTTCCAGGTTCCTCTGCTTAAATTGTATAGGAAGTTTGAGGTTTTTGTGTTGGTCTTTATTTATTTATTTATTTATTTATTTTTTGAGATGGAGTCTCATTCTGTCGCCCAGGCTGGAGGGCAGTGGCATGATCTCGGCTCACTGCAACCTCCACCTCCCGGGTTCAGGCAATTCTCCTGCCTCAGCCTCCTGAGTAGCCGGGACTACAGACGCATGCCACTATGCCCGGCTAATTTTTTGTATTTTTAGTAGAGACAGGGTTTCACCGTGTTAGCCAGGATGGTCTCGATCTCCTGACCTCGTGATCTGCCCGCCTCGGCCTCCCAAAGTGCTGGAATTACAAGTGCAAGCCACCACACCCGGCCCTGATCTTTACATTTTTAAATATTGCATTAGTGAACCATGTACTGATTTTGTGATCATAGATAACCCAGTTAATTATTAAGTCTTAATCACTTAGTATTTTACAACCTCAGTTGTTGTTATAAAGTAAGGGTTCCACATACCTCCTAACAGTTCCTAGAAAATGGAGCTGTCTTGGCATGTAGTGTTTATTGCCCTGCTAAGTGTTTCATGCTGGGGGTCAGACTGGGAGTCTGAGAGAAATTTCATTTCCACCGCTGGTCCTTTAACCAATGACTTGCTGCACAACCTGAGTGGGCCCCTGGGAGACCAGAGTTCTAACTTTGTAGCAGGGGACAAAGATATGTATGTTTGTCACCAGCCACTGCCCACTTTCCTGCCAGAGTACTTCAGCAGTCTTCATGCCAGTCAGATCACCCATTATAAGGTATTTCTGTCATGGGCACAGCTCCTCCCAGCAGGAAGCACCCAGAATCCAGACAAGAAAACAGTGCAGTGCTACCGGCGACTCCTGGAGGCCCTCAAGACTGCACGGCTTCAGCCCATGGTCATCCTGCACCACCAGACCCTCCCGGCCAGCACCCTCCAGAGAACCGAAGTCTTCGCTGACCTCTTTGCTGATTATGCCACATTCGCCTTCCACTCCTTCGGGGACCTCGTTGGGATCTGGTTCACCTTCAGTGACTTGGAGGAAGTGATCAAGGAGCTTCCCCACCAGGAATCAAGAGCGTCACGACTCCAGACCCTCAGTGATGCCCACAGAAAAGCCTATGAGATTTATCATGAAAACTATGCTTCTCAGGGTGAGTACACATTGACCTGGTGGTGACCCCTTGACAGCCTTCATCACACACCTTCCCCGTCCCCCTTAGAGCAGATCTGGCGTTTCTCGCCACCCACCTTCAGCAGTCCTCTCGTGTCTCTGCACAGGGAGAAATTAATAATGTACTGATTTCCCACTGGAGATAGGAAGGGGTACCTAATAGGGCATAATGCTCAGCATTTCCTTTGAAAAATATCTTTGAGGCCAGGTGTAGTGGCTCACGCCTGTAATCCCAGCACTTTGGGAGGCTAAGGTGGTTGGATCACTTGAGGTCAAGAGTTTGAGACCAGCCTGGCCAATATGGCAAAACCCTGTCTCTACCAAAAATATAAAAATTAGTCAGGGATAGTAGCAGGTGCCTGTAATCCCAGCTACGTGGGAGGCTTAGGCAGGAGAATCACTGGAACCCAGGAGGTAGAGGTTGCAGTGAGCCAAAATCATGCCACTGCACTCCAGCCTGGGCAACAGAGCAAGACTCCGTCTCAAAAAATATATATATATATACACACACACACACACATATATGTACACACACACATATATATGTACACACATACACACACACATATATATCTTTGAAACCCCCCTTGCCCAGTCTTGAGTTGGGCAAGCCCTGATTGTCTTTCTATCTTCCTTTCTATGTCCTGCTGCCCTGACTTGGAGGCAAGGCTTCATGGTTTCCTGTCCTTCCCCCTCAGCTCCCCTTTACTTACATGTCTTAGTTGGAGCTTACATTCCAGCTTGGGAGACAGACAAATACAAGATGAAACAATTATATACCACAGGATGAGGAGAGCACAACTGTTAACTGTTGACATTCCTGCCTCCTAGGGGACTTGAAGTTCTGATCTGGAGGCCTAGGCTGTACCAGGACTTTTGTGATTTTAATCAATTCCCTAACTGTACGTTAGGTACACCAATTTTGAGAACCAATTTTGCATTATGTATGCTTTCTTGTTTTTATTATATACTGTATACATACATATTTGTATATATAGTACCTGATATATATACATACTTCTATGTTCTAGTTTTTCAATTTAACATATTTTATGACTATATTCTCATTTTATTAAAAACTTGAGCCAGGCGTGGTGGTGGCTCATGCCTGTTAGGAGGCCAAGGCAGGAGGATTGCTTGAGGCCAGGAGTTGGAGACCAGCCTGGGCAACATAGCAAACCACCATCTCTAAAATAATAATAATAATTTACTCCAGTGCTGGAATACTATTGCTTAAAACAGAGCAAAAACTTGAAAGCATAACTTTCAATGGTCTTATAGGTTCCCATTGTATAAATGGAGCATAAAGTTTAAACTATTTTCCTTATTTTTGTATGTTTATTCTAATTTTCACTAGTTACAAGTTATGTTGCAATGACATTCCTATCTATAAACTATTTCCCACCTTCTGATAAATTCTTTTTGACAGAGTCTTAGAATTGAAACTACTAGGTAAAAAGATCTGCATTCTTTAAGATTTTAAAGCATGGTACTAAATTATTTTACAGAAAAGTTGTATAATCATTTATACAAACAGTTATAAAATTACTCTTCTAACCCCATTCTGTCAGTTTCAAATGCTATATTTTAGTACTAATTTAACAGTGAAAGCACTTATTTTCATCTCTTGTTAATTTGCACGTATTTGATTATAGAGAGGTTAAACATTTTTTTCTTTTTTTTTTTTTTTTTTTCTGAGATGGAGTCTCATTCTGTTGCCCAGGCTGCAGTGCAGTGGCATGATCTCGGCTCACTGCAAGCTCCACCTCCCGGGTTCAAGCAGTTCTCCTGCCTCTGCCTTCCCAGTGGCTGGGATTATGGCACGCACCACCACATCCGGCTAATTTTTCTATTTTTAGTAGAGATGGGGTTTCTCCATGTTGGCCAGGCTGGACTCGAACTCCTAACCTCAGGTGATCTGCCTGCCTCGGCCTCTGAAAGTGATGGGATTACAGGCTTGAGCCCAGCCTTAAACATTTTTTTTTCTATCTTAAAAAATAAGGTAGGACATTATAGCAGCCTTATTCACAATAGCGAAAAGGGGGAAGCAACCCAGATATCCGCTGATGGATGAATGGATAAACAAGATGTGGTGTAGACATAAAGTGGAATATTACTCCACCTTTATTAAAAAGGGAGGAAGTCTTGTCACGTGCTACAACATGGATGAACCTTGAGGACATTATGCTACGTGAAGTAAATCAGACACAAAAAGACAAATGCTGTATGATTCCACGTATAGGAGGAACCTAGAGCGGTCAAATTCATGGAGACA